CACAAACTGACGGGCTGCATCAGATTTCCAGTTTCAAAATACATCTCTTGGCATTTACCACACCGTGCACCAAAACCGTCCTGGCACTACGTTCTAGTTTCTCACCGAGCTCCACTGAAATGCATGAGACCTAGAGTTATAAATCTTTGGAAATGTTGAGCAACTGTACATTTCACTACCTTATACCTATGACATAAAGGTGAGAGGTCAGGAAAAAAAAGAGTGTAGTTTAGACTTTGAGTAACGTAATCTATGTGTAACTTTGAATTGGATAAATTGGAGTCTAGAATTAGCAGAGCCTTATGTATTAATGTGTGATTAAATATAACAGGCTACATTACTTTGGAGCAACAGTGATGTAGCCAAGTCTCTTGACAAGACTTTCAGTCTCATAGCAAGCCTGCAAAGTATCAGAAAAAAATATGATGTACAATTGCATTGATTACGGTAATATTTCAGTAATGATATGTAGTGGAATTAAAAACAAAAACAAATAAGAGAGTGCTTATTCAACCAAACTCAGTCTATATATTATCTTCACGTCTTCTTTTGCTACAAAATACCTATGCTTGCAATTTTCATCCTGAGCCCAAATCAAATCTCTTTTTTTCCACCACTAAATTGGCAACCAATTAATCTGAAGATAGCTGATCGCTAACCCAACATGACTGAATCAAAGTTGGGCGAGGGCACAGCCAATGAGCCATCATACTCAGATCTCTATCCAATCAGTAAAATATACACATGCTGAGCTAGAAAGCATTGCTTTAGTTGCATACATTTATTTTCTTATTTATTAAGAGAAATTCAGACTTTTTGGCTGTTTGGTGCAAATTCTCGTATCTGGATAATGATGAATTTGCTCTTAAGTTTGCTGCCATCAGCTATGTGGCTATCAACAAATAGAATGATGTTTGTTATTCCAATATTCAAACAAGAGTTGCAGTATACGTAGTACCTGATCTTCTGGTTTGGGACAAATGTAACATTTTCTGTGTTCTTATTTTTTTTTTTTGGACTTTGCCAGTGGCAAAAAACGGCGATGTCTGCATCTCCATCCTGCATGAACCTGGAGAGGACAAGTACGGCTACGAGAAGCCTGAGGAGCGCTGGCTGCCAATCCACACAGTGGAGACCATCATGATCAGTGTCATCTCCATGTTGGCAGACCCTAATGGAGACTCTCCTGCAAATGTGGATGCAGCTGTAAGTGCACACTGTCTCATTTGGGAACACTCGTGGCGTAGGTTTTTTTTTGCATATGCATCTTTTTTTACCACTGACATACTCTGTATGCTCTGAACTTCATATAAATCTGAGTATTTCGATGAAAACTAAATCTGATTCAATAACCATTTATTTGTGATTCTGAGTGTGTATATATATATTTGCACCCTGAGCCATTAGAAGATCAAATAAATCCTGGAATGAATGTTGACTCTACCTTGGTAACACATTTGGAATGAGGAGAGTGGGTTCCTGTGGAGAGAAACTCAGCGTTTAAAGGTCACATATTCTCCTCCTGTTCAGCAAGTTTAAATGCGTCTCAGAGCTCCCAAAAACATGTCTGTGTCTTGCCACTCTGATCCTTAATTTTAGCACCCCTATAGACCCCTCCATTTCAGCCCTGTTCAAAACAGGTTGTTTCTGTGTCTGTAGCTTTAAATGTAAATAAGTTGTGTTCGAACACGTCCCCTCTCTGGAAGGGCTTGGTCTATCTTGCAACAGGCCCAGTTGTTTACGGTGAGAAGGCAGACTCAGTGGACAGAACAAACACCTAGCTGTGGAGTGTCACCCACCTGGGGGGGATTTACTGCCCTTTGTGATGTCATGAAGGGAAAATCTCCAAACATCCTGTCTGAGCACACATTTTCTGAAAAGTGGAGCCGGTAAAAGATGGGGAGGATTACTTTTTCCATAATTGAGGGGTTTGTAGACAGGCTAGAGACACATATTAGTGTTAGAAAAACATAAAGAGTATTTTGCATAATATGTGACCTTTAAAGGTGATTCTTGAATTAGTTTAAAGAGAATTATCTTTGTTTACAGGTGCCTACTTGTGACAACAAAAAAACAGGAGCTCCAATGTTTGTAATTGAGTCTGTTTTTTTCTTTTCTAAATGTGTGGTTGCAGTAGATTGAAACAAAGCATGAGAGGAGGAAAGGGTTGCACTATTCAGATTATTTTGTGATGTTTTTCTTGTTTGTTTAACATCCTGCAGAAAGAGTGGCGGGAGGATCCGACGGGAGTTTTTAAGAAAAAGGTTGCACGCTGTGTGCGGAGGAGTCAAGAGATGGCATTTGATTAAGGAATCACAACACAGTAGGTGCAATCACCCTTTCAGGATTCAGTACGTTTGTTTATTTTACACAAGGCCGCCCATAAGGGGGGGGGGATAAAGGGGAAAGCTTTCTGGGGCCCATGGAGGTTAGCAAAAACCTGGTCCACCCTAATTTAAAGCAACAATGACCAAATGTTATTTTAACCTAAATACTTGCTTTAGTAAGATGTACCCTGTTTAAAGTATTGTTACGACCCGGCTCGTGTGGGGAAAAGGAAGAAAAATAAAACCAGTTGTTTTTGGCAAATTAAAGTTATTTATTAACAAATTAGTATAAATTGTGTGGCAAAAAGTGAGGCAACTGGCAAAGGCCGACGGGTGCTGTTGAAATCAATAAATAAGGAAAACAGAAAAGACTAACTTTGAGTTTTAAATCTACGACTAATCTTGGTGAATATAAAGAAATAAAAATAATGCCTAACCTGCTATGCTAACTACCCAAATCATAATACAACCAAACAGCACCCCTAACCTAGTGTGAATAACATGTGAATTTCTACATAAGTGAAAGACAAGAGTCTCCTGAATCAGTAGCCTACGCAATGAACTCAATTTACCTGGCCCGGCCAAAACGAGTACCTCAATTTAACATTTGAACATAACATTTAGTGACACCGACAAACGTCTCTGTCCAAAGCCGTTCTCTCTACTACTGCACCGGCAGTCTTTTTAGCCCTCCGTGTCGGCAGCTGCTCCTCTCTGATTGGCCACTCCACATTCCCAGGTAGTACAACATACGCTACCTGAAAATAGCACTTTTACAGCTGCAAGCCAACCACACACACACACACACACACACCAGGCCACACAAAGGGGCGGGGCGCGGCCGTAACAAGTATAAACCTCTCTTCTTAAACTGATAGCGGGCCAACATCGAGCTAATGTTAGCCAGGAGGCTAGCGCTAACACAGCTGATTGAATGTTGGTTTAAATCTTGTCCTGGGAGAGACCATTCACTGGACCTTTTAGGGGCCCAGCGTTTTCTGTGGGAGGGCCTGCACCGGGACATTTATTATGCACCTGTGAAGAAATGTTTGTGATGTTGAATTGACTGCTGCTTATGTTGTTGATTTCCTCTTTTGTAATGCAGTGTTAGTACACTACTGTAGATTGACTGAATTAACCAATGGTGGAAAAAACAAGACTGAAATGCTCCTTTTTTTTTATTTTAGGTGGATTAACTGCACATGGGATTTGACAACTGGCAAATCGGGAGTGGTCTTGAAGAACATGGGGCTCCACTGTATCAACATCAGCTGCCTCCCAAAATGGAAAAGACTTACAGAATATGTTAAACTCTATTTCCCTTATTTGTATCTTGCAGTTTGATAATGGTTTTTGATAGTAATTTACGTAATTGAAGGGCATTGGTATTCATCCTGCCAAAGGTTCTGTTTTACTTTACAATATCCATCAGGCTACTTCTGGTCAAGCATCAGCAGTTTTCCTCCCAGGACGATCAATAATTCACCTTATTATCTGCTCACTCGGCAGAAGGAGCAAACCATCCCTTCTGATAAAAAACAACATATTCTTAGTTTGTTTAGTTTATCTATTTATTTAGAGTGTGACTATTTTAAAGATGCATATCGTCTGTTTTTGGAGGGATTTTTGTTCTTTTTTTTTTTTTTTCAATCTGCCACACTGAGCCAACCAAACCTTACAGCTATTTAATCAAGTATGCAACTTAGTTTGGAGTGTTTGCCGCCACAAACAAACACTCGGCTTTTGCTCGCCCTACGCGCTCTTAGCGTCCAGCAGAGAAAAGTGTTCCTTGTTTTCCCTGAGGGGAAAACTTCTCACACCAGCACTGCCTTAACTTTAATTACCAGCAAATGAAACCAACCTTCAGAAAGACTGCAACTGACTGCTTCTTCTACATCCTGAAAAAAAAAAAAACTATTGTGGACAAATCAAATAATATTCCAATAAATATGTTTTTACTGAAAAATGCTTTATGTTTGTACCGCTTTAAATTTGTTTCGTTAAAACACATCCGTGCAGAGATAATGCTTTTCTCTTGACACTTGCAGAGGTAGTGTATTTATAATCTACAGTAGCACTTCAAACAGACCTGTTTCCATTTCTGTCTCTGTAGGAGAGGTACACGTGTTTAAATCTGGACTACATAAAGGCACTATGCCAGTCTAGATCAAATATTTATCCTATTTAGCCTCTAATATCTTCCTCTTAGAACATACTGGAACAAAGATGTCACCTTTTGTTATTGATAACTGTTAATGTGTCTCAATCAAACTTAATCAGTTTTACTGGAGAGAATTTGAATTATGCAGAACAGAAAAAATCCAGCACACATCGCTTGCTAACATCAATAATTTAACAAAACAATCTGAACATTTCAGTCCCTCTGAACCTGTCAAGTGTGTTCTTTTTTTCTTATCAATTGGTGATCCTTAGCAAGAGTAGTGTGCGGGATCTTTTCAAGTGACAGTTTGTTGTCCTACACACTTCAGGAGAAAGTTGGATGTGTGAACACCTTGAAAATGATGCAGGAGAACCCTTTTCTTTCTGAAGTAATGTGACATTGTGATAAATTATATACACCTCATAGTGGACATTCTAACCTAAATGTTGAAATGTTTCTGACATCTTTTAATCACGACTGAGAATATGTGTTGGGGGGGGGGAAAACAAAACTTTTTTTCTTTCAATCCCTTTGATTGCTTTATTGAATTAAGCGCCAGCTCAATATTGTCAACAGTCAGGAGAATACATATATTTAAATTGAAAGAGTATAAAATCATCTTGGCAACACAAAAGCAAAACCCCTCCCAGCCCGATCGAAGAGAAATCCATCTCTCCATCGATCCATGTTGCAGGTGTAGAATAGAAACTTTGGGTCCTGAGGTGATCACTGTCCAGGAGCTGACAGGCTTTTGTTCATGAACTGCTTCTTGACGAAGCACACCCACCACTGAAACAAACGACATCATTAGAGAGCTGCCACAAGCTTCCAAACTCAGACGTGTACAGTTAAAAACAAAAAAAAAACATCCATTGATTACAAGTCAACAGAACAAACTATGTTTAAAGCCATAGGAACATTTGACTCTTGTGATACAGGTATAACTATTTTCTCTAATCTTGGTTACAAAGCTTTGTTTCATATTAGAATTCAAACCTGTCTGAGAGCAGCTAATATGATAATTAAAGGTTAACCTTGATCATTTCATTATAACAGACACAGGAACAGGAATCGATGACATACATTTGACAAGTTTTAAAAAGTACATCACAGTGGATCAAGATTACTTGATGTAAATGATTCAGAGACGTTGGGCTCACCTTGCTGGGTTTGTCTGTCTGGGGGTCGAACACACGGTCACATAGTCTCAATCCGGTCTCCTGGCGGATCTGCTGCAGGTATGCCCTCATGGTGTCTGGAAAAGGTGGGAGGATCAGTATTATTAATAATTCTCTGTGGAAAAACATGGATGTCATAACTTTGATAGGATTCATTGCAGAGCTAAGTAATTTGTTTTTGTTTTTTTGACATATTTCATTCAAGTTCCATATCTCTTATACAAGTTCATCAAGAACTTTTCTCAAAGTACATTTTTGGAATGCTTGGAGACACCATGCCAGACTGAAACAGCATTTCCTACTTCAGGGTGACTGAGCCCAAGAAGTTCTCATCGCTATTTTTGGCTTGATATCACTTCAGCCAAGAGAAAAGATGAAATATAAGAAGGGAACAAGGAGACTGGCCATAGTTCAGAGTACAGGCTGAAGAAACAGTGTCTCAAAGGTTCTCCGCTAAAAATCAGCAGAACATATGGATAATATCCCGAGCAAGACTTATTTGTTGTTGCTTGTTCTTATCCATTGTATACCTCATTAGACTAAGGGCGCACTCACACAAGGCCCAGTTTTCCCCATTTCCCCCCTGGCCTGCACTCACACAGATCCAGGACTAACCGGGTCTGAGCACGGTTACCTCTTGAACATAACGTCTGCATCTGTGCCAGGGTCAAGGAAGTGTAGCATGCTTGATCACAGAACACTCACACTTGTCAAACGAGCTGGACTTCAGGGGTGAAGGGTGCTTAAGCAGGGTAGATTGCCGAGAGTTTGTGCGGCGTGCCCTAACAGTACTGGTCCTAGTTTACAGTAGCTATCTTCACATGGACACAAATAATCTGAATAAAAGCCTGATAAAAATAAAAAATGTCAACAGGACAGAAAAGCTGATTTTGCTGTTATTACAGGCGGATCAGACTGCCTCGATCGCTCTGCACGTCAAAATGATTTTATTCTGATTTAATGTTTGATGCATGTACACCAATGCCCTCATCGGATTACTTTCTGCATCACCCATGTAAACAGTGAAGTTGGAATCCCCAATCGGAATGCTTTCAATGGGATTGAAGAAATGTTGCACTTGTAAACATAGCGAGTAAAGGTTCTTACCGTCCTCCTGCTTGTTTGCTGGTTTAATGTACATGGCGTTGAGAGGAAAGCCTGGTTCTCCAGGAATGGGAAAGTTAGAAATGCCGAGTGTGTACATCTCCTTCTCTCCTTGGTTCCGGGAGCTGCACTGTAAGGAGAAAAGATATACGAATTATAAGCTTCTAGCAGCTGATTTTTTCTTCCTAGGTAGACTATTAACAATCTATTTGTCACTTAATATCACTGGTAAACATTTGAGGGTCGTGATTAACAGCCCGCCCCATCTTGGCATAAGGCCTACAGTTGTTTCTGCAAAATGCAGACAACCAACCAGAGTATTCTCTGCACCTCATAAACATCTGCAGCTTACCTTCTGTAGCTTCTTTAGGCATTCAGAGATGTACAGTGTGACATAAATCAGCGTCCTGTCTGCCTCATTCTAAGAGAAACAAAAGCACACAGAATGTTGTTAAGTACCTTGAAGTAGATTGAAACAAATGTGAACAAGAAAGTTATTATGAGAAGTTCAATTCCAGCCTGTTGCACGGTTAAAATCCTGAGCAACTATGCATAGGTGAGGGGAAGAGGAGAAAACAAGCTGGGGCATGTGTAAGGACAAACCACAGCTGCTTCAAGGCGTAAAGGGACGGAGAGATGGGGAAGAGAAAGCACAGACAGGAACGAGCACACGACAGAGATTTGTGAAGTTCAATCAGCCAAATCACATTTTGTTCTTGTTATGTGCTAGGAAACGTGGAAACATTTCTTTCACTATACTTAAATTAGAGGTTAATGTATCTGCCAAAACAGGCGAGGCAGCAACAGTGGATTTCTCACCTTGATTTCATAGTTCTTAAAGAAAACATTGGCCTTGAAGTAGTAGATAGCCTCATCGATGATGTCTGAGTCAATGCCTGAAATGAAAAACAGTAACAATAAATATAGCTCTCAACTTGTCTTTTAGTCAAATCATCAAGATATAAATAGGATAAAACTTTACTGTCCGTTTACAAGCTCAGAAATCCTCACATTCAAATCAGATCACACTTAAAAACAGCGTAAGTTACAATTAAAATCACAGTTCAAGCAGTGACATAGATACAGAAATAATGTTAGGAGATTGTCCATAGTTTAAAGTGCTCACAGATCATGTGCAGCCCAGGTCAGGTTCATAATCAAATGCATCGATGTTGCAGAGAATCACTTCCTGTTTCATTTTTTTTTTTTTTTTTTGTATCAAACCCGTACTTCATGGCTTTAAATGTAGAAGTGGATTGTTCTGCCTCCTCTGATATTACAAATATGAACATTTATTGAATTCTGACACCACTATGCAACAGTAAATCACACCTTCTGTTTGATAAACATGCACATGTATGTATAATATATTTTTTTTTAAAAGGTCAGTAATTCTGATGGAGACTCACTCCTACACACTACAGACACTGAAAAGGTTGTGAGCGGTGTTTCAACAACAGACATGAATGAAGAAGTTGAAGCTTAGTGTGCACGCTCAAGGCCATATAAGGAAGTGATTATCAAAGAAATGCTCAACGGGTCATAACAAGGTATGGACCCTGCACAAAGTGTCCAAAGCAAAGGGATTCAACCACTTTAAAGCCACCTGAACTAAACATTATGTGTGTGTTTGTTTGCGCCTCTCTGCACTTGTAAAAAAAACATTCATACGGGGCTTACCATCTCCTCTGGCTGGCCCCTTGAACTGGGTTTTCAGGGGAAGCAATGCCATATTCCCCACCAGCCTGGTTTCTGGGACCATCAGGCTTGAGTGATAGGCCTTGGAAAAAAAGAAAAAGGGGGGTTAGTAAGTTGCTGTCACATACATTTACTAAAGCTGAGTTAGCTGTACACAGTTCCGTCAGATAGCATCACCGGCAAATCTACTACTGTGTTGCAACGCGTATAATCTAAACACCGTAAATGTAAAAAGACACGTTAAATTAGATTATAAAAGACTTTGTAGTTCTCCAGCATCGCTGAATTGCGAAAAAAAATGCTACTAAAGCTAGCCGACGATGCTAACGAGACTCAGCATCAAAGGTAGCGTTGACTCGAAGGCCCTTGTGTCACTCAGATGATTTTTCTATGCAGGTATTTACCTCTAAATGATTAACTGGAAGCTTGTCTTATTTAGTATGCATGTAGGATATACTCACCGGCATGTTGAGTGTTTAATATCAGTCCTACTGCTCAGCCGGAGAAAAATATTAACACCGCAGGACTCAGCTTCCGCCTGTCCCACCCTTCAGTTTTACAGGAAGTGGCTACATGTCATGAAACGTTGCTGCCACAAGGGGGCGCCAATACGCCATTTTAATGTCACCACAAGGAAAACAATCGGTATATTCGGGGTAATATTTTATTTAAAAAATATAGCATTTGTAAATCTATTAAACTACAATGGTTGAAATGACATTTCTTGAGTCTGCAAAATGGCCAACATAAATAAAAAACTTCTGAACACACATAATACAATACGTTCATGATCATCTTCAGGGTCTGTTTTTTTTTTTTTTTTTGCCCCACACATGTCCTTGCAGTCACATGCCTTTGTATTGTTTTTCCCGTTGTTTTGTTTTTGTTTTTTCAAAGTCACTTTTTTATGCAGAATTCCTGGGGTCGTTGTATTCTCAGCCTTCGCCGCTGTCTTGAAAAGCCTCATCATAATTGAGGTTGCCCGGCTCTTCATCGACCTCCTGTAGAATAATAAAGGGATGTGTGTTATAACACAACATAGATGAATACAAAATATTTAAACCGCCAAATGCATTGCAATAACTAGACATGACATTTTACTGTGTTTCAATAAATGTTTGTGCATCTTCACCTTTGGCTCCTTGAACTCCAGGTCCTCTCCATACTGTATGGAGAAATCAATATGTTGCAGGACTATGTTAACGCCCTCCTCATCTGAGCGATCAAAAGGCAGGAATCTCACCATACTGTAGTCATCAATCTGAATAAACAGACAGAGAGAGAGAGAGAGAGAGAGAGAGAGAGAGAGAGAGGCTTGGTAAAAGTGTAGTGAATATGGGCTTAATTAAACCCAGCGTGAATTGAAAGGCTTTACTCACAAGTTCACAGATAGCTTTAGTCAGCTTCTTGAACTTTGTGCTTCGGATGTTATCGGAGTTATCGTCCATCATAGAGTACATGTCCGGGTCCAGGTACCTGTGAAAGAGAAAGGACAACATCACTCTACAGCAGTGGTACTCAGCCTTGTTAGACTTAAGAGCCACATTTACCAAAAAAAAATATTTCTGCAAGAGCCACAATCAAAAAAAACTTCTTTCTTTCCTAAAATACGTGTGGGAAACACAGTGACGTGACTTGCAAAGAATAATTTCTGCTGACAATGTTTCCCTTTTTAAATAATTACTTTGGATTTTTTTTTCTCCAAGTAGGACCTAAAAGAGCCAAATGAGACACACTCGAGAGCCTCGGATCGAGTATCAATGCTCTACAGGATGAAAAACTTGTTGGATTTGCAGAAATGTACAAAAACCTGATTTATCATTTCAGTTGTTAAAAAACAAAAACGACACAGTTCAGACTGTGAAAGAACTCTCCTTCAATTGAAAGGTCACCATACACACTCATATGAATCTTACTTTTCTATTTCCTTCTTAGCTTTGGGACTAAGCAGGTCCATTTTTGTCATGATGTTTACTTGGGGAATCTCTAATGACACCATGGCACTCAGGGCAGCCATGACTCCCGAAATGAACTGCAGTTAAGAAGAAGAATGAAGATGTGATATATATTACACTGAGTGCATTTCAAGACAGAATTGAGGTGTTCTCAGACACTAAGGAACATTAAATTAAACAGATAGAGACGAGCAATTGTAGGTTACCTTAAAAGACTCCACCATGAACTGGGAGTCCACCAGAAAGACCCCACACACTCGAAACTCCCACTGCTGGAGCTGCTCCACCAGCTGCCTCATCACAGGGAGATGTGTGTAAAGCTCAATCTGACCTGAACAAATAAAAAGGTCCTTTGTCAAATCTGTGATACACTTAAAAGCATGGCCTGAAATCTGAGACAGTGCTGTATCCATAATTGTAAATAGAACTGACACAGTTGTTCATAATCATAATGCTGTCATACAAACCGACCCCTTGTTTTGTCAGAGAGCACAGGGGCCTAAAACGGTGTGTTGTGCAATTTCTTACGGTGATAAAAATGTGTGTTACCAGAACAGATGTCATGCCGTTACATCATCATTCATTGTTTTTTTTTTTTAAATCAATGTAATAACCTGGACAATCGAACAGTATGTAGTCATCCTCTACATGCCCCAGGCTTTCCTCAAGCCAGTCAAAGTTGTTGGCAAAGTACTCCATGCAGAAGACCAGGCCTCCATTAGGGCCAAATCTGAGCGATGGATCCTCCATAACGTCATCAACCTGGATCAGCTCACGGATATCTGACGACACAGAAACAAGGGGTTGTCTTATGAAACAAAGTAAAACTAAGTGTAAAAGCAAATATCAAACACGAGCGAGTGATTCACAGCATTCATTTCACTTGCACGTCACTCTCCCATCATCAGCCCCTTTGGCTTAAGAAAGACGTGCGCAAATAACACAACATACACACATACAACTACAGCAGCCCTGACCAAAACGCTTGTGAATTTCTCTGCTGTGTTTTTTTTTACTGTATTATTTCATATTGTATTTGTATTGTTGAGATTATTGTGATCAATCTAAACAGTGTCCAAATTTAGTCCTGTTACTATCCTGTCAGTAACCAAGTCGTACCCATTAGACTGTAATGTCCCTCTTTCTATGATAAGCAAACCCTTTCTCAGTGCTTTGGCAATTCTATTGTCTTCAATTATTATTAGACCTACAACACCATCCACACCAATTCAAAGTCTGTAACTCTTGACATTCTTAGTTTTCCTTGGCGAACCTGCTTGTGGCTGTATTTTGTATCTCTACTTCTATATTATAGACCAATACCATTTATTCAAAACATTTTTACATGATCCTTTTCAGGACTACAACCTGTGCTTTATGTACCTGCCATGACAGGGTAGTCAAAGTGCTCAGCTGCTGGGTCCAGGTTGACCACCTGTACAGACCGGTTTAGGCTCTCTGAATGCTGGACCATGGTGGAGCAGTAGGTACTCTGAAAAGGGTGAAACAAAGCTCCAACAATTAACAAATAGGAAGCCATAACTTTAACTTGAGTCGATGTGGGAAAAACAAGACAACCTCATGCATGAGCACACCGCTTTAGCCATTTAGCATAATAAGACATTTCAACACGTGTGCCCCGGATGACTGATCACTGACCTTCCCGCTGCCGGCCGGGCCCATGACGAGCTGTGCAAAGCGGGGCATTTTGCCCCAACTAAAACGAGCTGTTTTGATGTTACGCAGGCTATTATTATAGGGTGATAAAGCTAGCAGAGCTTTATTTACTGATGCTCAGTACTTCTTCGCGTGTTCACTCGGTACTAAGCATCAGTGCTGCCACCTAATGATATGAGGGCGAAACAGAAGGAAGCAGAAGTCAAGTAACTGGGTTGACCAAACAGGGTGGATTTACAGCGTTTTAATTGGCCTCCACAGAAGAAAGAAAGTAATTTAAAAAATATATATACATTCTTTTTTTTTCTTTATTTAGTATTAATATTATACTGTTCTTAGAATTTTAAAAGGGTAAAAAAAAAAAAAAAAGTCTGCCTACTCCAGTACAGTAGGTGGCAGTATACACCCTCAAAGTAATTTCAATACAAGCCGCCATAACTAACAAAATTGAGAAAAAAAATATATAAAAGAAGAGGAAAGGGGCAACAACCTGAAACAGTAACAACCAGGTAACAACAGACAAAAAAATTGAAAAAAAAAGCATGACGTGACAAAGGCGTCATGTGGGTTATCTGTCCGGGGTCTTTAAAATCTCGTCGGAAAGGAAACGTGTCGAGTCTTATGACAGTGAATGGAGTTGACAAGTCAAAGCCTTTAGAGACAGGTGGACCTCTTATTGGTAGGTGAGGTCATTTGTCAATTACCGTCTCTCTTCCTACAATGACTGGCAGTGTCTATGGATTGCTATTTTTGACTTGAATAGCTCGGTTTAGCGCTCACACTGGTTCCTGGACTGCTGAGCTGCTGAGCTGCTGAAGCAAACCAAACACTTTGTCGGCTATCCAAGGAAAAATAAAAAGGGGTAGCTATGTTTATGAATTAGCTACAAGCGATTATAGCCCAGTTCAAGTCGGATTTAGAAGACCAGCTGTTTGTCTATTAACGACTGTAACTCAAATGTTGGCTGGTTTCCGACAGCGGAGGAGCTTCATCCACACAACATTGTGTCACAGCGTTAGCACCTATTAGCAGTGATTACTAAGGAAACCAGCGAGTAAAGGCTACTCTGTGTCAACTTAGCAACACGGATAGCAACAACTTAAGACACTGGTAATGTTAGAAAAGTGAATAACAAAGGCGGCATATGTCATGGGAATAAGACTGGTGTTAATTTTAAAGCAACACTTAGTTAGCACTGCTGGATAATAACTGTCTGGGATTACAAAGACTGTGGCTTTAAACTACACTAAATGGACATTACTTTCTGATGTAGGTTTACACTTAAGAATTCAAATACATTTTAGCTTATTTTCAGTCATGAAGTTTACATGTTAATCAATAAGATGAAGTACATGTTGTGCACACACACACATCATTGTTTTCTTTACTTTTGCTCACATGAAGTTGAACATCTGAATGTAGAAATGTGGCAGTCAGAAGTTTAAGGTCATATTTAACAAAGGTAGCACGCCACAAGCCATGAACACATATTTATGTAACTTGAAGCTTTCTGTCTCAAGGAGAAGTTGTTGTTCATACAAAGTTAAAATGACTACTGCTTATTTTGACAATTATATTTCTTTCTAAATTTGAACTCATACACTCTCAATGACAAGTGCATTGTCCTGTGAAATGCTCACTCTTCCCTCCTCTTCGTCTTCTAGTGTTGTAGGCTATGAGTGTGGGTGATGGAGGACGGTCAATGTGGAGACTTCCTGATCCAAGATGAGGACACCCTCATTGAGGGTGTCAGCAACCAGGTCTTGTTTGTTGTTGTTCTCAGCATCACCTTCCTTGCAGGCCTCCTCACTCTGCTCTGCAGGTAAGCAGCCATGTCAGGAGGAAATCCACCAAGTGCAAAGTAGTGACACAAACTTCAGCATATTCTGACAGACAAACGCTTCAAGAGACTCTGCATGAGAGGAGGAATTGTTTTCAGTGGAATGTGATTCACACAGCTGTGGTATGATAATCCCAGTAAATATATTGTATCAAGCAACAAAGATAGCTCTTTGTCATTCTCAAACAATACAACTTTTCCAAAGTTGCATGTGGAGATTGTGTGTGTTGGATTGAATTGCAAATCTTTCTCCTTTTTTCACTGGAAGTACTGCAAGCCTACTTACATTTCAGTTTTTCTAACGGTGGCTGTTAACAACACGGTTGATTGGGGAAACGGAACCTGCTGTTTTAGTTGCTTTCCAAATAATTTTCAGATAAATGAAAAAATTTTTTTTTTTTCTCCCCAGGTTGTATAGTTGTCCGTGCTTAAACACTAAGCTCTGTAATGTTTTGATTGTAACTGTGCATTTGACCTTGCAGACAAGAGGAGCAGAACATTCACCCTGAGAATCAGGAGCATGTTCGAGCCGTCCGGCAACAGCTCCAAACAGAGCAGGTACACTGAAACAAAACTACATGAAATCAGCTGAATAATTAAAACCCTTTTTATTGTTTATTTTCTGTTACACATGGAATTTTAGGATCCTATTTTGTACTTATTTGAAAGGATTATTTTGTTAGTTGTTGTTTGTATTTATAACAAGGAAGCAATTTGTCCTTCATCTGTACTTATAACAGGATACCCTTTGGTTTAATTAGTTAATGCCTTATAAATATTTGGGCTAGTAGTAGTAATCTTGGAAGTAAGATGAAACGTTTACATGATCAAACCGTCACAGGAAGTGGCATGAAATACTGTTTCCTGAGGTACCATGAACTAAAAAAAGTTTAAAAAATGTATTTTCTCAACCAGTGTATTTTGATGGTCGGATAGAAGGTAGCACTCTGTATTATTCTTCAGGACTGATGCCTAGTTAAAAGTGAATACAGCTTTAAATTAGGAGATACATTCACATTACCCTGTGTTGACTCCTGTGTTTAATGTCATACATGCGTTTGATATGTTTACTTTGATTTCTCTCCATCAGGATGAAAATAGCCAGGCGGAGGCCAGGCAACAGTATTACACAGACATGTCTTGTCCAGTGTGTTTGCAGCAGGCTGTTCTGCCGGTGGAAACAAATTGTGGACACCTTTTCTGCGGTAAGACTGTGTCAAGATTTATACACTAAGCAAAGCTGTTACTATGTCCAACTTGAGAGAACAAGTGGAGATGCTGGAGGACATTCTACCCTGAGTTATTGTTATGAGCTACAACCTGTGAGCATATGCTGACATGGATAGGCATAGGACCATTGAATAACAATGAGAATGAACATAGAATTCAATTGAAAAAAAAAAAACAATGTCATGAAAGTGTTTGTGTGCTGTCTTTCCCCGCATAGGCTCCTGCATCATAGCGTACTGGAGGTATGGCACCTGGCTGGGTGCTATTAACTGCCCCATCTGCAGACAAATGGTGAGACTTGTAGCTGTCAGAATTTATTTTCTTCTGCATGCACCCAGATATACAAATATACACCACATATATTTAGATAACAATGCAGCAGCCAGTTTGTCGTCCTTCTAAGTTTAGATTCCGTTATGGTCTGTATTTGTTTTGGCCGGAGAAGGTGGACGGTTTTAATGCACCCCATACGGCCGTTTTGGACGCCCCTCGTTTTGCTAGCACCCTGCATGCAAAAGCCTCTGCATTTTCTAATAAGCTCCACGACCAGAAACGTGGTCAAACTAGGATAATATTGGAAAATGGAGAGAAGTTAGAAGACAGAAATGTTTTATGACCGATGCAGAGCTGGCTAAAACCCTACAGATTCTGTTTGCGCATCGACTCTAGGAAGGAAAGTGTAGGGGCAGACCGCTCTCTAAAAGGTTTTACATTTCCACTGCAGTACTCATTTTAAGCGCTACATGTCACAGTTACATATTGCTCCTTTTATTAGTGTAGATGTGTGCATACATTTCTGTTCGGCATTTGTATTCATTTTTTTTGTCTTCTTTTGTCTAGGTCACTTTGCTTTTCCCGCTGTTCCATGAGAACGCAACTCCTCAGAGGGTCCAGGATGGCGAGGCAGAACCGCTGCTGATTTTAAGAGACATTAACGATTACAACCGCAGGTTCTCAGGCCAACCAAGATCTGTGAGTCAAAACACCCACATGCACATTTAGGCTGCAGTAGTTACACAGCTATTGAACTTTGAACTTACTTTATCCAATATTGATGTTAGTTACATGCACATATATGTAATAGAAACAATTATTGATATAGAAACAAGCTGAAGATGCTATTAGAGACATTTCTGTTGTGCTGTTAAATATGTTAGCACTGATATTTAAATAAAAAATCATGCAATTGAGATTCTGACGCATGCAGTGCATCAGGGATTGTACAGAACAGACTTTCACACAATACTTTCTTACTGTGTGCGTACTCCTGTGTGTCATCAGTTTATGGACCGGCTGCGAGATGTGCCCACCCTGCTGCGTCACGCCTTTAGGGAGATGTTTTCTGTGGGGGGCCTCTTCTGGATGTTCAGGATTCGAATCCTTCTCTGCCTGGTCGGAGCACTCACCTACCTGGTGTCCCCGCTGGACATTCTCCCAGAGGCACTTTTCGGTCTCCTGGGATTCATGGACGACTTCTTTGTCATCCTGCTTCTCTTTGTGTACATCTCCATCATGTACAGAGAGGTGGTAACACAGAGACTGAACGGCTAGATGCTCGCTCATTAACAAGGCCTTAGGTTTTCTCAGGAAGAGGTAGAACCCAGCATCTGAGGATGTGATGGGAAAAAAAAGACTCACAAAGAAAGAACTGAGTAAATGCTCTTAAGGACAGATACTCGACAAGACCGGTCTTCCAAGAGAGGTTCACCTTGAAACCAGGGATGTTTCTTCATCACTGGAGAGTGAATATAAGCCTCATCTCTGCAATGACTCTATATAAGGAATTCAATCTTTCATCGATGGCTTAATAAATGTTCTGTCAAAGTGGACAACAACACAGCATGGGGGTGGCTGTAAACGAATGTGGTGTTGTGTATACCTACTTTGAACCACTTTGTGTATCCAGGGAACTCTTTTTTGATGAACTGAATGCTTCAGCCAATTGGATGACAGAGTTTTCCTGACTTTGGACGATGTGCATATCAACATAATAGAGACCACAGTAATGTAACGTAATGTGAACTTGAACTTACTGTATCGATGGCAGTGTCTTGATTATATGCATTTAAACCTGGCTGTCTGCATCCAAAGTGTCGACTGTCTTAACAGATTCATGTAACTCGAACCATCTTGCTGTTATTACAAGCTTTGTGGTCAATTCACCTGATCACGCACCTATGTAAGGAACATGTGCTTATAAAGATTCATAATGACATGAAAAACGCAGATTATGATCTTTGTAGCATTTTAATTCCATTGAAATAATAATAAAAATCTGAACCTGCATGCAGGCAGGACAACCTGATAATATATATATATATATAATAAAAGACACCAAAGCAAAGGTGTGAAAGAAGAAGAAATGAAACTTGAGCCATGTTTCCACCAAGCCTTTCAGTTTGGTACACCCTTATCTCGCTTGCGTTTCCAAAGCCAACCATTCCCGAACACATCACTACATCGTAACAGCGCAATATAGTGTAGGTGGCCAATAAATTCACCAAAGAAGAATGCAACACAGTAAACAAAGATCAGTGTTTCCTAGGAAGATCTGCATCTATGGGCTGACAGTAGTCTCAAAAAACAAAAACAGCCTTGAAATTACTCTCTCCAAATCCACAGGATAGCTTTACATGGTGCATTTTGTGTTTGTCCTTTATTACCGCTTTTGAACGCAAAGGGGTTCTTTCGACCAATCAACGGACAGCAGATTGTCAGACTGCAGCCATCAGGTACGCTGTGCACCCCAACAGACAGGAACCAAATAGGTAAGACGGTACAGTTTGGTAATTTTGGTACCAGTCCCTGCTTATGACGGTGGAAACGCCAATAAACTAAACATTAACGAACCAGACCGCTTGGTGGAACCCAATATTGGGCAATTTCTTGTCTTTTAAGTTACAAAAAAGTAGCATATGCCTGAAGAACTGTCTAAATTGTACATTGTTTTGGTGCCAAAGCACTGCCAATGTGTTTGTGCAATTTAAACCGAGCTATCTCTTTTTGTGTCCCAGCAGCTCTTGATTAAATGTATGATTACAGAACTGTAGATTTTTTAACCTTCAGTAATTTTTTTATACCATAAAAAAAAAACTGTGATTGTATCATTTTAAAACACATGGTATCAAAAATATCAGTGCATCAAACATTTTGACAACCTTGTGCTGCCAAGAGATTCAGCCACGATCAGGCTCAGAGTCAGTGGGTGGGCTTTTCATATTTCTCCGCTTTTATTTTTGGAACACTGAGTCGACCTCTTTTTAATCTCTTAAGTCATGTATTTATTTATTGATTTATGGCCCTTTTACCTTTATTGGATAGGACAGCTGAGGAGAGACAGGAAACGTTGGAAGGAGAGAGAGTGGGGGGGATGACATGCAGCGAGGTCGGATTCGAACCCACAGCCGCTGCGACGAGGACTATAGCCTCTGTACATGAGGGCGCACAACAGGCCACCGGCGCTCCCTCTAAGTCATTTATAACATAATGAAAAACAAAGATGAAAGTTACATGTACAGTGTGTGTTTCTATTATATTGTACGTGATCAAGAAAAGTATGTTGAGGAAATCAGACATTTTGGATTTCCTTGATGTTAATGATGTTGGTGTGATCATCTGAAGCACTCTGTTCATACTTTTAGTGGTGCATGGTAGTACTGTAGTAGAGGTCCTTTTTTCAGCATTTTCTGACTTTACATTAGACACATGCTCGTATCAATCAGTCCTAGTACAAGATATTTGATATTTAATTTTTATAAGAAGGTACTTGGCACCCTAAAGTTACTTGAATATAAGGTTGCCAAACTTCACTGCTTCAGATCACTAACTGAAACTCTATCCAAACCATTTGCTTTTCTCGGGGACTCTGTCTGCTGAGCAGGCGTCGGCCTTCATGTTCATGAACCGTAAGGGGGGTTTGAGGCTTTAGTGTCGGGTGAACAGTCAACTGTCAAATCTATTCTGTATGTTTCACAACTTCAGCGCATCTCAAATAGGACCATCGGCTCCCTCCTGGAATGTTTTATTTTAAGGTGTGGCCGAGCTGTGTCATACCTTTTCTCTGTCTTTACTGAGATGTCTCCTCAGGTTAGTTTCTGGGGTGTTTGAGCAACCTCCACCCTTTTGTTTTTTTTTTTGATTGCCCAACTCAAGCAAATGACAGCAGCATGTGTTGTAAATGCTTCAACAGTTCGACAGCTGAGAACTGGTTAGGTGAGAGACTCATGCAGGTGGGAAAATACCACAGCTGCTGGGAGAGATTATAATGAACACACACACACACACCAGTCATGCATTTTGTGTTTTCGCCGGCTTTCTATATTTTCCTTAAGATCAATGTTCTTTCCATAAAAAATGCTGAAAAGCCAAAGTACTGAAATACATGGTTCCTTACATGGATTCCAAAACATCTTGTCAGTCGGGATATAAACACCATTTATTGAGTTTGGGCGTGTCTCTTGTCTAGTGATGCAAGAAATTCTGTTCAAGCATGATACAGCTGAGCGTTATGCCCCCATTGCCGAGCCAGCGTGGGTCAACTGGACCGTTTTCCATTCTTGTCCCTGTTCAATGAGGGGGAGCAGAGTGGGATTTTCTGGCACAACTTCAACTACCAAGGTGCATGAATAAGTGAGAGGCTTGAAGAGCTCCAGCAACACATGTAGTGTGAAGATCAACTTTAATAACAAACTTGTTAATTGAACAGTTCAATGGGGGACTAATTCCCTTTGACATTCAACCCTGAATACAATATTTTGCCATGACCATCACACATCATACATGAGCCCTTCATACGTATTCAGTTAGATTCCCCCGATGGTTATTAGTGTGTTAATCATGTTTTGGAAGGAAATCTGTATTTTTTGTTCGTATGGCTCCCCTTTCTTGAGAGAGATTTATCTACAGATAACACTATCCAGTAAGTGTTATCATGATTTTATTTAATATGTAAATCTAATTTTGACAACCAGAGCAGACAGAAACACATTATTTAAAATGACCCAGTGGCTCATTGTCACTCATTGTGTAAACAATTCAAATGTAAGGGGGACAAAGCAATACATCACGCAACCTGTGAGCAACCGGTGCAATCGTCATGTAATGAAGCTGCTTCTTACTCTTTTCTGCTTGCAATGATACGTTCATTTACTAGCCTATTTATTTATTGATACTGTGAATTTGTTTTATATATATTTTTTTTAATTATAAATAGCATTGAAGGCAACAACTGTCATTACAGTGTTGGTCACTGTTGCTTCATTTGCTATTTTTGCATTGTCCTTTTTTTTTTTTTTTTTTTTTTTTAAGCCATGTGCTTCCCCTTGAGAACCCCCTCCTCCATGGGGAAAGTATCCCACTGTGACATGCATGTGAATCCAAGTCAGAGGTTTTACAGCCAGGTTGTCCTGATGTTTTCAAGATTTTTCAAGAAGGACAGTTTTAAAGGTTTAGTGGTGGTGGTGGGGGGGGCACACCACATTTTTTGAAGCAGGTAAACCCAGCCGTACCCTCTTATAATTGGTTCCCCTGTAAGTGTGGCTGTGTATAATGTTTGGTCTTTAAAGTGAAAAAGATCACACAACTTGGTTTATTTTTTTTTTTTTTACATTCTTGTCCCAGAGGAAGGACATTCTCCTTAGGGAGTTTTCCTCTGTAATTGTGGGAGTTTTCTTGAATGTGGACTAGTAGACTCCGCCCACCCAGCCCTCCTCAGGCAGACGCCAGTCTGGCAAAGCAGCGAACCCGACTATTGGCCAACACAGAGACCGTGAGACACCCAGAGAGAGAGCGAGAGACCTCGGGAGTACATGAAGCCGACTGACAACCTCAGGCTCCGCTCACCACATAAAGTCGGTCTACGTTAGGTAACAATGAGCACCTCAGAGTCACTGGATCGAATGGAACTCTGTGAAAGCCTCCTGACATGGGTAGGTGACCAAAAAAAATATGAAGTTTTCGGGGCTTCTTTTCACAGATAGACTGTTGTCCGGCAGCCGGCTGATGCTAGCTAACATAAAGGCTAACGCTAGCCTAGGGAGCTAGCTCGGGTAACGGTAGCAGACTGGAGGGGGGAAAATGACATGGGCTCACGTTGGTTACGTATGCAGGCCAGCTGTTTGCTACTTTAGCTGCTGATGTGTTGCTTACTAGCCGCCATAAACCCGTGTAGCCATTCAAGACTAATATGTTGTTGCCAGTTCTTTGCCATCGAATATAAAGCTAACTCAACTTTCCTGATGTCTGTCGCGTAATAAAGGGATCAAACAGCAGAGACCATTGGCCTTGTTATGGTTCAATGGTTTATAAGCGGAGAGAGGATATAAGGTTACAGCTCAGTGTCTGGTCTGAGACTAAATTCCTCTCATTGTTTCCCAATGTGTCATTATGTCCTGTTTTCTGTTGCCTTCCAATCTTTGAGAAATGACCCATGCATGTCTAGTTAAAGCCTCAAAGCAGATGTTAAAGCAGTGAAATAATGCACCATACTGTAGCATCACATGCTGAAGGTTGGTGTATGTTTACAATGTTGAAAAGGGGTCTTGAGCTGAGATGATACACAGTGTAACCAAGAAGCTGAGAGCTGTTTTTGTTGTGGTGTGATGCACTTGCTTGATGTTTGGGGGGGAAAGGCTGAATGGATTTAGATATCTCAGCAGACATTTGCAGTTCATGACATATCTTAAACGTGTAATGACTTGGGAATGGATTGGCACGGGTAGCAATTGATGGAAACTCCTTGTTTTCACAATAAGCTACTGGCACATATGTCATAGTGTAAAGTCAAAACAAAGCTTGTGATGTTGGTTGTGGTAGAGCTTAGTGCAAGCAAGCTTCCGTGCTTCTCCGTGGTCATGTGCTTCCTTACATGTCATGTAAAGCAAAGACATGTGCACATTTCCTTTTGTGAAAGTAATTTAGCCCATTAAAGCTTGTTTAAAAAAAAATATATAAACAATGTAGGGGTTTGGGATTCATAACTGAATGCAGCTTAATCACAAAGGCTTTCATTGAGATTGGAAAAAGTAAGGGCAACGAAAAGTCAGAAATGTCACCGTCGGAATACCTTTTTATAAATGAAATGAATGTACAGCTACACTACACTGCATGTCGTATCTGTCTGTGCATCAACTTTGCACCCTCCTTTTGTTGTCATGGTTTGGCTTATCTGTAGCCTTTTCGTCATGTTCCCTGTAACGACGTCGCTTCAAACATTCCTCACATGCTTGTCATCTGCGGAGTCACAGCACAGATTGTGACTGCTTGTTACTGAGACATGTGAGACTTAACGTCTTACAAAGTAGCAGTGAATATGTGTTAAGTGGTGCTTCTGCGATAGGTCAATGTAACAGGAAGAAGTGTTAGGATTTTAGGCACACTCACAAATAAGTAGTTGGTTGTTTGTTTGTTGTTCAATATTGACTGATAAACACGTTCAAACATATCTTGTAATTTAACAGTTCTAAGTGATGATGCATGAAATAGACATTATTACGGGATGAAATCAAGCAAGCATACCTGTAAAATAGGAAGTATCTGTGGTGCCAGAATGAAAAATGTTATCAGATGTCGGTCAAATGCCATTTATCTTTGTTGTGAGTCTATCTGCATGCAGCTACTGCTTTTATCTTGCAGTTCTTTCCTGTTGTGTAAGCCAGTTTGTCTAATAAGATAATGAGATACAAGTGATACAATTCTATCGCATGACAGTACGCTTACGGGACAGTAGCTATTGTTGGCCCCATTAACATCTCTGTGCATACAATAGTAATCTGCTATTCTATAAAATTGTTGGTTTCAGCTGCAATTATACCTTTACCTTTAAATCTCCCCATGTGTAATGATTATTGTCGACAACAGCTTAATGTAAGGCTGATGAAGAGCAACACAAAGATTTGAAGTCTACACTGGAACTTCAAGAATAACATCTACAGGCACCTATGCGCTAACTGGAATGAAACAACAATATGCATTGATTGCATTGTGTCTTGGTTATTTTTGCGGCATGTATTTTTGCAGCTGACGACATTTTGTTTGGCACCACATGCACACTCACTCTTACTCTAAAAGATGTAGGGTTGTTGACGTTGTGTTCCATCTGCTATGCTATTCTTTCAGGGAAACATTGCAAAACGATGATAGCTATTATGCAAGATGCATAATCTGGAGGTAAACATCTAGAAAACCTTTGTTATCACTTTTGTTTTTCGTTTATTTGAGTGCTTTTGCTGCTAATCACGTTGTCCTAGACTCCTAGTCATGTGTTGCTTTAGTCATGTGACACACACTCTATCCACAGTTTGACTTCAACCCTTCCCAAATGCTTCCACAAACTCCTAGGTGGGGCTTTTTTTTTTTTTTGACCTCAGTCTGCCCTGTCCAAGAAGTTTATGTCCACACTTTCTTGGTGTGCTTGAGTCTGTATTTTCATGAGTTTTGTTGTTGGTTGCTACGGTATAGTTTTTATTTCTAGATGTCAAGGTTTTTTTTAAAATGACCACACTCTTCACATAGGTTAGAAATTGCGAGTGTCAGTGCAAATCCACATTTTTGTGTAACATTTTCTATCTCAAGCTACAATTGTTCAGAGTTTTCTCAACCAATGTCAGTTCAATGCAGATGTGGATCCCATTTTAAGACTGTCTCTCTCTCTTTAACTTCTTGAAGATAAACTACACTGGACTCTGTCATCTGTACTGTTAGCAGATAGCTGCTCTATTACCTTTACTCAAAGAAAACTGATTGCATCCTGGCAAGGCTGTTGGAAATTAGCAAATCTTTTTTTTTAAGTACAATTAACACATTCTTCTGTTGTGTTTGATAGTTCTTTGTTTTCAAATGAATGGCTTATCAAACATCACAATGCAGCTCACACAAAGATTTGGCACTTGCAGGGCCTAAAATGGTATGCAGATTAATTTCACAGGATGTTCTGTGGTGGAGGAAGGAACAGCTGAAAAGTAGGCAAAAAAGCCACAAAAAAACGATAGCAATGCTGAGCTGTCAATGTAATAATCAATCAATCATCATCATTTGTATAGCGCCAATTCATAACAAGTGTTATCTTGAGAGGCTTTACAAAAGAGCAGGTAAAAGACCCTCATTGTTAAGAAAAATGGGATAGGGGGAGATGGGATAAGATGTGGGAAGGATATAATCAAGAACTTGTGCAAATACTTCAAAAATGTAAACCCAAAACTCAACATCACAGAGTTCCAGGGACAATAAACAGTTTATATAGCTGCTGCATTTGTTTATGCAGCATTGAAATGACACTTGTAGATTGCCCCCATTGTTTTACTCGTTACAGCTGATGGACCTTTAGCGCAGGTCAGAAACAACAGCTCAGAGGCTCAGAGCACAATGACTAAACTTTGCACCGTTTCCAAATTAAGACTTTATTTTTAGTCTGAGTGCGTTGATCAGCTTGCTTATTGCCAATAAAAAAAGTCTGCTGGTGAAATCTATACAATTTGAGTAAATGTTCATCCCCCAAATATTCTTATAATCTGTTCTAGCAGATTTAATCAACACAATACCGTAAGTGACTATATATGCATGATGTGCACTTGTCTCAAATGATACGTACACATAATACAGTCAAAGCAGTGAATTGTATGCACTTACTTGGAGCTGAAAAAGTTGGGCTTTATTCACTGGTGCCGGGCAGTTGCTCATTGTTCTCCGCAGCATAAAGAGACTCGCCTGTTTTACTCCGCTGGGCTTTTTGAAGAGGCATCACATGGGCACACACTCTTTTTAAAGGCTTTGTAACACAGTGGCATGTATACTGCATGCAGTCGAGCATGTGGAGGTTTTGGAGCAATGGAAACATGTTGCTGTGTGGGGACAGTACTATAGAGTGGAATAATAGCTACAGAGGCCCGCAAAAAGAGGCCAAGTGGAGACAATGCAACTGATGGGGTTGTTCCAGGAGCTAACACTGCTGTGAGAGTTAAGGTGGCTGATTATAAACAACATTAGATCCCAACCTTAGATCCAGTGCTGGAGGTACTTTAGGAGAGATATTTATTTTTTATTTCCAAGGCCTTGACACACCAAGCAGGCGGCAAATAACTAGTGGGGACGAATGCTGCCAACTAGGACTAACGGCTAACGATCTTCTTTGTGGGTCAGGGCCTTTAGGCTTTTTACTCTTTAGATAGCAGTGCACTGGTTGTCATGCTGTCCTGTTTGGGAACATGTGTTCATCAGGGCCTCTATGGGTTGTTTTTGTATTTGTGCGAGTGCCACCATATTTTCTGTCCTCCCACCATTTTCCTGCTACAGGAAATGATGTAGACCAAATGTTGCTTTTAGAGCAACAGCTGTGTTTGCCACCGTTTCTACCATGACACAAAACATACACTTAATTTAAGCACCGTGCAACTCCAGGACTACACTATCCTGTTTGCTTCATTCCATCCATGTGCAATTCTGTCTTTGAGTGTTGTTTTCAATGTAATAACATTTTTATAACTGTATTTTTTCAACATGACAAGACCTTTTTATTTAATGTTATATATTTGACACCAACTCATTAAACACTACTTTGTATGAAACCACATAGCCATCTCTCTTGCCAGTGTTGTGTCCTAAGGGTTTTGTAACACAGGAAGTCAGCATAAAAGTGGTTGCACGAGATGACAGCATTGCAGGAAAGAGTCAAATCTTGATTGTGTTGAATATAAATGTAGCTGAAAATTCAGCTTATCTGGTAGAAATAAAGGGAATGCTGTGTTGGTAATTGATGTGGGGAAAAGTCTCTCCCTGGTAGTTGGTGTTATGTAATCAGGGGTATTGTTTAGGTTTCTACATGTGCTGGCTCCGGGCCAGTGTTTGGCTTCAGCTGCATGATGTACACACAGAGAGACTTATCTCATGTGGGGTTGACTACCTGAATAGACTGGAGGTTATAGTATGAATGATGATAAAGACTTTTTGAGATCAGAAGTAGGAGAGTAATGTTTTTGAGAAGTCAGGCTGTCATCAGTGTTGTAAAGTACAGTGGAAGGTCATGCTAGAATTGGAAGCAAACTGTATTTGATTGTTTCACCTTTTTTTTTTTTGTTTAGACAAACTCCAGGAAAGAGGATCATTTGCTTTGTGATTCCAAAGTAAATCAGCGTCCTTTTAGAAACACTTTAAACATTGAAGTTATATTATTTCATCAAGTGATGATGTGTGGATGTTATTTTGAGTGTGATGTATCCCTCATGTCACGTGGAGTGGAGTGTGTCCTTCACTGTGTGCAGTGTCCGATGTCTTCTTGTTTACTGAAAGTACCTAAGTGATAGTGCAGACCTATCACTGAGTTTCTGTGGCTACATACTACTTCAAGTCCTAAACCTGCAGAGTTTGATCCAAAGAATTAGAAGATAAGATCATTCTTGATCCCCAGAGGGGAAATTCAGAACATGGCTAAACTGAACAAATATTCAATTATTCTTATTATGACCACTCGTTAGTTGTAAAAAGAATCGTCATCATGTATGTTTTGAGACAAGCTGCCATACAACCGGTAAAGCAGTCGTTTGAAGGCTGTATTATTGCTAACACTTGAAGCTGCTGTTATAATAGATCATTATTTCAACTTTAAGAACTTTGAATGGGATTTTTGTTAGTAGCACTACAAAGCTGCAAATATTAGTGAATAAATTAAACGCTCAGCTGGAGTTTCCCTCTCTCAGCTCATTTAATTTCAACACAGTTACCTCATGTTGATCCAGGCTTTACCCTTCATTAGGGACTTAAAAGTGTCCCTAATTGTTTTGCCATCGCAGGAAACTTGGCCAATCGTTTCTTACTCTTCCCTCTCTGCAGCTCAGAGCTTGGCAGCTGACTGTTTTGCCACGTAATGAAAAGTGAGACCAGCAGAAGGTTGTACAGGAAGAATTTCAACCTCATCACTTTCTTCCTGTCAGAAATCCAACATTCCTTCTCTCAACTTCTTCCCCGCTTTCCTTTTGCACGTGGACTGTTGGCGTGCAGACTCAAAGATATTCACATCTGTCTGTGCAACATCAGACTTGCAGCCGGGAGGGAAAGCAGTACAGAATAATAAGAAGGACAGAAAAAAGACTTTTCAAGTGAGGAATAATCTGAAAGAAAGGAAAGAGGTGACGCAAGAGTCGAGAGAAACTGCAGTGATGACTTGCGAAGCTGTGAAAATTTGTGCTGGAGTGGGAAGTGTGAGCTTCATTAAAGAGCAGGACGATATTTATAGATCAATTCAACCAAAGCAAATTTAATTTTTCCTGCTTCACATTCATTAAGTGTTTAACTGATCATCACTTAAGCTGAATATAAAATTCTACATTTAGACCTTGATAAAGAGGGTGTCGTGGTTTGTCTATTACAGTGTTTAATGTCATTTTGATTCAGTTAGACAGTGTGTACACAGCCCAGTCAACACTTGTTTGTTTTGTTGTTTAGATCCAGACCTTTGGAGTGGAGGCTCCATGCAAGACAGTGGAAGACCTGACGAGTGGTATCGTCATGGCCCAAGCTCTGCAGAAAATGTAAGTTCTGCTCTTCAGATTTATACTACCAGTTTTTCATCAGCAAGCGTCTTTTTTTTTCAAACTATCTAAATCCCTGCTCTCTTGTGTGTCTGAACTTTTTAGAGACATAGTTTATTTTAGTGATGCTTGGATAAGTAGAATCAAGCCAGAGGTCGGGGACAACTGGAGGTTAAAGGTTAGTATCTGCTTCTTCTTTTTTTTTTTTTTTTACATTTACATTTCCCTTTTACATCTTTTATGAAACCAGATCCGAGAAACTGTTACTAAATGTAGCCATTTTTGTTCATAATGACATGGTCGATCCCACTCTTGTTATGTCACATTTTAAAGTATGGATTTACCTCGGCTCCATTGGAAACGAGGGTTCTCTCTCAATGTGTTTTCCGAGGATTTTGATAAATAAATGATGACTAATCGCTGTCATTATCTTGTGAGAGTCATCTGGAGGTCTAACCTCTGGTTCAGTGTTGCTTGTGTAATTCTTTCTCATTGTCTTTTCTTGTTTCAGGTCAGCAATCTGAAGAAAATCTTAAAAGGAATGCTAGACTATAATCAGGAGGTAAGAAAAATCTACTGTTCCCACAAGACTTGATCACTACCCAGAACTCCGATTACATAAGGAGAAGGATTTCTGCTACAGAGAAAATGTGACTGCCTACTCCACCCTTAATCTATTTAACTCAACACATGACACCACCATGATGATGTCGTTTTCATATAATGAAATGTGTCCATTATTTTAAGTTTAGACACCTTGTTGTTTGTGTCTAGATCCTGGGCCAGCACATCAACGACTTCACACTACCAGATGTGAACCTTATCGGAGAACACTCCGACCACGCAGAACTCGGGAGGATGCTACAACTTCTGCTGGGCTGTGCAGTCAACTGTGAACAGAAACAAGGTGCTCATAGCATCATCACTTTGTCAATTTGTACGTGTGTGTGCAATGTGCAATTTGGTGTTTTTAAACAATGTGCTGTGTGTTTGCACATTGCATTAGAAACTGACTCAGAAGCTTGGATTGACCCTTTACTTGTCTGTGCTCTCTAGAATACATCCAGACCATAATGATGATGGAGGAGTCAGTGCAGCATGTTGTCATGACAGCCATCCAAGAGGTGAACTATCATGTGTTTCAGGCCTTTAATAATGAATTGTAGATGATGATTGATCAGTAATGACATGTCATTGATCAGGTACTTCAGATTTAAAATAATATATATATATATATATATAAATTGGAGTTTGAAGTGCACAGATGCATGATTGACAAAGTTCTGCTTCATATTGTCGCTTCTTACATTTAACCTCTCTGAACATTATTCTGTGTTTCTGTAGCTGATGAGTAAAGAGACTCCAGTGGCGGGAGGGAATGACTCGTATGTGGATCTAGACCGACAGGTATGGAGACTTCATACTAAATCTTCACTGTGGAGCCTTCAAATCATTTCTGTTTTCAGTCGATACCACCAATAAGGTGTCAACACTACCTTTTGATCAGACCTGTTTGTATAATCAGTAAGCTAACGGTAGGCATGAGTGACTCTTAAGTTGAGCTTGAGAAAATTAGAAAAATTCAGAGGGTTTTTATCTGTTCTCACTCTGTTCTCAGCTCAAGAAGACGGCAGAGGAGCTGAACGATGCTTTGTCCACCAAGGAAGAGATCGCTCAGAGGTGTCGGGAGCTGGACATGCAGGTTTGTTTGATGCAGTTGTGAAGCCATACAAGTGTTCAGTGATGTATCCAATCGTTCATAAAGTTCAATAAAGCATAGAACAATAGCATACTGTAAATACATACCCGAGAACTCCCTCTTCTTCCCTTTAAAGTTTCTTTTAAGCATTTCACTTGAAGTTTGTTACTCTTTTTTTTTTTACTATCAAACTGATTGTTTCTTGCTTAATATTTCTATAGCTGTTTATTAAGTACACTTTAAAGGCAGCTCCTTTTTTTCTATACAAGGTTCTTTATTATGTTATAGTTTAAGTATATCTTAATGTAAATGGTGAAAGAAACATTCTTAGGCCCCGTGTCCCCCTAGCATTTTTTTTTTTTTTTAGTTCCAGAGCCTTTAAAAAAAAAATTGTATTCAACGAGGAGAGAGCGTTCCCAGCAGCAGGCGGCCGCCCAGAGAAAAAGCGCCCAGCGTCTTTTCATTAATTTTGTGCAGCCGCTCAAGTTGAAAATCGTTAAACTATTCAGAAAGGCGCTGTTGATGTCACCAGATACAAGATATTCCCCCGTAGTTTTGCCGCCTACCAATCGTGTCATGTATTCACATCCTCTTTGATCCGTGTCCGATCGAGAAATAAATGATCTCAAATAAAAAATATACAGTAATAGTAACGGAGCAGTGTAAGTCATACAGCGGCCATTGTCAACAGACTGTAGTCATAGAGACGTGTAGCGCTTCTCTTCTCAGCGCACAAACGCTTCATACAAGAGCTCCCGAGCGCACACCCAGCGCTTCTCTGCCCCGGAAAAAATTCTAGGTGGACACGGGGCCGTAACATTCAGATAACGATCATCTCGTAACGGCTGATCATAATTAACCTGTAAGTTACCATACATTGTGCTAATGACAGTGTTTTTGCAGAAAAATGGAGCTGTAGTTTAAAGGGTTACGTGCTCTCTCCTGTTTGGTGTCCTCCTATCTCCTCACTTTTTCAATACTGTGTGCCTTGCTTTAAAGGCCCTCCATGTCCAAGAGGAGCGTGATAGGCTGAGGTTAGAGTATAATGAGCTAGAAGAGAGGGTAAATCCAAACTTTCTTTTTCTTCCTGTCTCTTTTTTTTTATATCAATGGCGTGTGGTGTGTCTAATAGTCCTGGATTTTCTTTTCAGTCTGCTTGCACCAGCATCCCCTTTGGAATCCAGATCCCCCCTTTTCCTAATTATGTGTGCATGTGTGTGTGTGTGTACACAGTTGTGCACAAGTGTTTGTGCACATGTGTACACGTGGTCCTCTTGGGGGTCACACCAGTCACAGCTGCAGTTTCTTTGTGGGTGTGTCAGTTGTCACCCCTTCACTAAATACCCTCTGCCCTTTTTACCTTGGTGTGTTTCATGCTCTACCACAGCAACACTACACAGTAAAGGGAGAACTCTTTTGGACCCAGGGAGGAATCATTTCATGGCACAGCTGTTGAATATCTGTCAAATATTCACACATAATGTATATTTTGGATTATTCATATATGATGTTTTTTTCAATGGGGGGTGGGGTCAAAATGCTAACATCTGTAACAGAATTACACACAATGTTACTTCATACTAATAGGGATTAGGTATGTCTTTATGAAACTACTTTGAAACATCTTTCTTTCTTTTTAAACTCTTCTCAAATAGACTTACCACAGTGAGAGAATATCACGCTGCTGCAAGTTCTCTCTGAACACTTCCACATTCCCGTGTTCCAGCCGTTTCAACGGGACACATTTTACACAATGAAGTGCTAAAAGGTTTTATGAAGCAGAAAAAGCTGATGCCATTGTATAAGGTCATAAAATACACAGCCTATAATGCAAATATAACATGTCCTCAGGTAATGCAATTTTAGTTTAATTGGAATAAACAACTAGAGTTTGTAAAAAATGATGTGATTACATCCTTTACACGTCAGGTAGTGAGACATCTTCGAGGGGAAAAAACAGCTTAATCATTGGAGCACAATTTATATTCTCTTTACAAAATATCAAAGTCATTTCTTAAATTTTAACAGTGCACCACACTTTTTTTTTTTTTTTTTTTACAAGTATCGTTCCTTTTAAAAACAGCTTCTGCTTTGCTCTGTGTGAGATTGAATCATCCATCAATCCCACTGAGAAGGTGACATCAAACCAGCCCTCTTTGCCATGTTGGAGTGTGTTTTAGTTTTGCCTTGTTGAGGTGTGTGTTTGGTGTGTGCTTGCTTTATTGCCAGAATGGATGCAGTGATTGAAAATAACTGAATGCATTGAGAAGTTGTACATGTACTTTAAAAAAAAAGCTTGACATATACAAAAAGAAGTGTCATTTACTTTCTAACTTGTGTCCTTTCTCTTCCTCTCTTTTTTCTCCATCTTAACATCCTTTCCTCTCTTCCTACTCTACACCTCTCATCCTATTCTCCATGCAATTCCTTTTTGTTGCCCCTTCTTCACCTTTTTTAAAATTCCCTCTGTTCTTCCTTCTCATCTGATTCTACTTGTCTTGCTACTGGACCATTTCTTTCTTCTCCTTTTTTTCTTTTTGTGTTTCCACTCTGCCTTCGTATTTTGCTGTCCTCTGCCCCGCAGGTCGCAGCCCTTCAAGAGGAGAAAAGCAGTTTGCTCGCAGAAAACCAGGTCCTGATGGAGAGACTTAACCAGTCTGACTCTATAGAGGATATTAACAGCCCTGCTGGACGCAGACACCTCCAGCTGCAGACACAACTGGAGCAACTACAGGAGGAGACTTTCAGGTAGGAGGATGTTTTTTGCCACATCAAAAGAGAGAAAGAGAGAGGCTTGACTGATCTTGATGTCAGACATCTTCAGCTCTGAAATATGCCTTTTTTTTCTTTGTAGGTTGGAGGCAGCGAAAGATGACTACCGGATCCGTTGTGAAGAGCTTGAAAAAGAACTCTTGGATGTGAAATCACAAAATGAAGAGCTTACGTCCTTGGCTGATGAGGCCCAGTCTCTCAAGGATGAAATGGATGTCCTCAGGTAAGACAGGGAGGCAGATTCGGCTTTCAACACACTGAGATTTCATTTTCTTACTGATGATGTTTGTTGTGCCCTTAATAAAGTTTGTATTCAGAGGGCTTAGAAAAGCTTTGATGTTATACTCAAGATTTTGTAGATTTCAAAATAAGTGCTTTTTTATGATCGTTTGAAGCTACATCACACAGATCATTAAACAGTTATATTGCTTGTAGCTTTTAAAAACATGATTATTGCTCAATGATGAAAAGATAAAAATGATTAAAAATGTTTTGCACTAAAAGCCTGATTGGAGGGAAGTTGAGGTTAAGTGTTGAACCTCGATCCTGATCACACTTTTATTGTCTCAGGTGGGTTTCTACAATAAAACAAGCCTTTGTTATACCCCCAACTTCCTTTTCCTTTGTAAATGTTACCTCACAGAATGAAAGCGACCGTTGTTTTCCTCACAGGCATTCATCAGACCGAGTGTCAAAGCTGGAGGCAACAGTGGAACACTACAAGAAGAAACTGGAGGACATGGGCCTTCTCAGGAGACAGGTACTCAGTCACACTCAGAGAACACAGAGACAAAATGTATTCATGATCTGTATTTTCACATTTTCCCTGCAAAACATTGTAATGTTTTATAAGAACCTGCATTATATAGCCTCCATCATCTTTTTTAGTCATCAACTAATTAAGGCTTACAGGTGGTATTGTTGTACACAGTTAAAACTGAGCTCACATTTCTGTCTCTGTTTCCAGAACAAGCTGCTGGAAGAGAAGAACACAGTGTTCATGCAGACTAATGTTGGTTTGGAAGAAGAGTTACGAAAGGCGAATGCTACCAAGGGCCAGCTGGAGACATACAAGAGACAGGTAACAGGTCACATGGAGTTATTATCATTGGCATGGCCCCTGGCTGCACCATGTTCCTCAAGGCGTTACTCTGTCACATTACTAACATACACACACATCTATACTGTCAGTGATCACGTCTGCTGCTTCATTAACTGCTGCTTTCTCTGCACAGGTGGTTGAACTTCAGAACCGACTGTCAGAGGAGTCTAAAAAGGCCGACAAGATGGAGTTTGAGTACAAACGGGTCAAAGAGAAAGTGGACTCCTTACAAAAAGAAAAAGATGTAGGTCCAACTCTTTTTACTTCTAGAAGTACATCACAACAATGGTTTCATTTCACTCTTCACAACGATTAATATGCAGTTGACACGGACAATACCCATCAAACATATTCACAGTCCTATTTGTGTAAATGAAATCATATTATTTTAAACCAAAAGACTGTGTCTAGTTTGTAATTTAGCAGATTCATCAATAAACAACAAGAGAGATGCAAAACAAAGCTATAAACATCACATACTGGATCTTCAGAGAATTATTTGATTGACTGTTGCATTTTATATGCACTTTGAAGCTCCTTGAGACTGTACTCCTTTTCTCTCTCTCTGTCAGTCCGTTTCTTCTTCTCTTTAACGTCTTCACTCCTTGTTCTCTCCCTCTGTAGCGTATGAGGACGGAGAGAGACTCTCTGAAGGAGACTATTGAGGAGCTGCATTGTGTGCAAGCCCAGGAGGGACAGCTTACATCAGGTAAAAGTCATACCCGTCAAGGGTTGCTAAGTATGTGGAGCTGGGCCTTTTTTAAAAGAGTTTGGTCTACTTAAGCCTCTAACAAATGTTTTCCTCCTGTTCTAACACTGATTTTGGTTTGTTTCAGGTTTGTTCCCGTTGGCGAGTAACGACGGCTCTGATTCTTTGGCTGCTGAGATCACCACTCCAGAGATTAGGTAGGACTTTCCAACACTTGATTTGTTTCCCTTAGGATTTAAATGCACATTGTTAGTGAGGTAAATAATGTTAATATTGTGTTTTACACAGGGAGACAGATCACAAAGTATTTAATGTAACAAGTTTAATAAGCATGATGTGAGTTTGTGTGTGGAAGAGAAAAGTCATCAATATTTTCTAAAACAGTATTTTATTTTAAAAGACGATTGGCCTCTAAGTTTGCATCGTACATGCCACAAACACACCAGTCATGAAAGGACTCACAATCTAAGAGTGTGTCAGTCGGTTTGTTCCCCTGCAGGTGTCTCTCACCTTGTCCTCATGTGTTTGTGTGTGCAGTGTATCTGTCATGCTGTTGTTCAGTTTGTAGCCAGTCAGATGCTGTTTGTAGCATGTCCCTCTTCTGCTCACTGCAGTGGTAAGGTAGACGAGTTTGGCGTGTCTGAAGTGAGTTATGTAACTGTGTGTGTGAGTTACATCAGCCTTACTGCTGCTCTCCATGAGGGCTGGGTTTTCTGCTGGCAGCACACTGTGCCTGGTTATCAAGTGAACCAAGATTTGACCTTGTAATCCTAATCCACTGAAATCTACTAATAGGACAAAATATGAATCGAGTTCACCCAGTGCAGGAAGGCTGTTTATCCCACCCAAGGGTAGTGTAAGGAAACATTGTTGTGTGCTGAAGTGATGTCATTTCCTTTGAGCTCGTGAGATGATGCAATAGTGATGTTTCATGTGTAAAGAGAAGAAACTGTATGTGACGTATAAAAGTATGAACTGTCAGCCTTAAACACTGAGTTTGCAAGATTTACCCTTTTATAGCAGCATCTGGGATTGATTTGTCAGGTCTTTCTCCTGACTATGAAACAGGAAGTCGAGCCTTGGCTGGAAACGTCTCTCCCCCCCCCCCCCCCCCCATTCTGCTAATCAAGCCTCTACCAGAATACATCTAGTCGTATTGTTTGTAATTATAACTCAACAAGTTAAATAAGACGTTTTTTTTTTTTTCACAAGTCATCCGCTGCGTTTCCCTCGCCTGCCCTTTCCTGGTTAGCAGCTGAGAGTTCATCTGGCAACATTTAGCCAGTTCCTCCATCAACAACCGCACCCTTAAAAAAAAACATGACGTGTTTAAAAAATGGTATCAAGTGAAATATCCAAGCTTATCTTTGACAGTACGCTGTCATCAGTTTGAAAGTATCTCAAACAAAATAAAGAATTTAAAAGCCCTCCTACACATTCCTTTTTTTTCCTCCAAGATTTATTTTGGCTGTTAGTGCCTTTATTGTAACGATCAGAGAGTGGATAGAGTCAGAAATCAGGGAGGGGGGGGGGGGGTGGACTACCGGAGCCCCCTCCTACTCATTCCTACTCTCAAGTATAACAAAGCTTTCTTTCCACCTGCCATTTTGGTCATACTATGCACAGTTCTCTGTGTTTATTGAATTCTTTATTTTGATTTGATGATAGTGAGAATGTCAATAAATAGACTGAAAGTTGATGCAATATCTGATCTGCTGGAATTTAACTGAATGAGTGCAGAGAAGAGCAACAATACACAGAGAATCAACATGCAATAACATATGTTCACAGTGTGTGGGTCTCTTTTAGCCAGAACATCAAATCAGAGAGATTTCAAATGTTAGGAAAGACATTAGTTAGGGTTATCCTAAAAAAAAACAAAAAAAAAAAACAGTTGCCATCGTCCAATGTGTCGTTCCAGGGAGCATTTGATTCGTCTTCAACATGAGAACAAGATGCTGAAGCTGGCCCAGGAGGGATCAGACAATGAGAAGATTGCACTGCTGCAGAGTCTATTGGAGGACGCTAACAGGAGGAAAAATGAACTGGAGACGGAGAACAGGTCAGTGAAGAGCACAGAGAGGTGCAGCATTGGCAGCCAAAGCACATACATTTGCAAAGTAAAAAAAAAACACTCTCACACTTGTGCTTGAGCCTTTCTTGAAATGCTTGGATTCCTGCAGTTTTCAGAGCCACATTTTCAGTGTGAGCTGCTTCCCTGTGTTTGAACATGGATCAATCTCCCATTTTCTTCCCCCACAAAGCATTTCTTTGTCCAACTGGAATTTCAGTCAGTGACCTTCTAGTTAGAAGCCAGCCACCCTGATGCTTTATCTACCGCTGTATAGCTTGCTGTTTGCTCAATGCTGCTTTTTTATCTAGGTTAATAAATCAGCGCCTGATGGAGGAGCAGAGTCAGGTAGAGGAGCTACAGAAGAGTCTCCAAGAAGAAGGTTCTAAAGCAGACGATGTAAGTGACAAAATATTGTTTCTGTGTGTACAATTAAAGATCATGCTATTACCACTCACATACATAGAAATGTAATGCATATCTGCTTGATCTCGTCTTCCTTTTTATTTGTATCTGTTTAATTAATAGGGAAAAATAACCATTTTTCCAACTAACTCCTCCCACAAAGAACAATTTCTAGTCCATTATGTTTTTCTGTATATGTGTGTTTGTATAGTTTTTATGCTGTAGTTTAAGATAGCCTTCAAGGCATTAGTTAAGAAATGACAAATAAGACCACTCACTTCTTTTTTTTAGGATTTCAGTTCACGTACTGCAGACTTGTGTAGATTTTGCATCCCAGCTGCAACATTAAGAGTCTTAAACATCTTTCTTTTCACTCAGTATCTCAGTATTTTTTACATGCACTTAATTTATGAACACAAGAAAACAACAAGCACATATTGAGCAAACTGACTTTCGTAACACATTATTATGGAGAGTTTCAAAGAAAACCGTGTTTAATGATCAGAACATGTTTAGACATTGAGTAGTGGAACTTCTGTGTAAACATTGTTAAAAAGAAAAACCCTGACAGAAAACACTCAGGGTGTAAGACCATCCACGTGGCCTGTTTGTGATTCTAGATCAAATGAGTAAAGTTGTCATGATTTTCTTTTTAAATTACGCTTCAACTGTCAGACTATAGTAAGTACTTATTTTACAATTCCCTTTTGTAGATTGTCTCTCTTTCTCGGGCGTTTGTTTAGTTTCTTATGACCACCAACAAATGTGTAACATCTCAGAATGAAGTCACTTCGCACACACTGGTAGATTTCTGCCTCTTCAAATGAATCTTTTTCTGGCCACTGTTACTTTGCTAAATGTTGCTTAGTGCTTATGATGGATTCATGTTGTCTCTTTGTAGATAATATAGTAATGAGTAAGGTCTTTTACCGGCTCTTTTGTAAAGTGTCTTGTGATAACACATATGAATTGGCGCTATACAAACAAAGACTGATTGATTGATTTATAGTTGAAATTATACATAGTGTATTGTTTACACTGTGTAAAGCATATTCTTTGACAGAGTTCAATAATAAATGATTGAACTCAGACTACTCCGTAAGTCTTTGAATCTGAACCTTGTACAGAGCATTTCACTGCTGTTGTGCATTTATAACACTGAGATGCTACACATGTGTAAGGGTACTTTACCTCCCTCTTAGCTAGGATCCTTTAGTTCTTCTTTGCCTGTTAGACATAGAGAGGCATCTTCAATCAACCCTTAGTTAGATTGATTTCTCCCGTAGAATCACAACTTCCCTCTGTCTTGACGATGTAAGATGTCTTGAAGAAGCATTCTGCTGCAGAGCACCCACATGAAAAGTGAAAGTGCAGAGTGAAACCGAATCAAACAAATAAACTATTTAATGTAGTGTGAAATCATAATGATATCCTTTCCCAAACTGTGTTTGTTCTTCACTGCCCTCTGTTGGAGGAAAAGGGGAATGTGCAGGACCCCTTGTATAGTGTGGCCCATTTCATTTTTAACTTTTGACAGATCCAATTTAACAGGGCAGTTTAAGAATACACTTTTATTAATTTTTTGTGAAGTGTGAACATTAATGCTTAATTGCATTGTAGATAAGTATGGCCAGTGAAGTCGAGCTCTAGAAATGTTACAAAGGCTGCGACATTTGTCCAACAGTGTGTAAGGGCACATCTGATTTATGTTATGTGCACTTGTATAATGGTATAAAATGTTTTTAAATTGGCTCTTTATCTATTTTTATTTCCAGTCTTCCATCCTGAAGAAGAAATATGAGGAGCACATGTAAGTTAGCACCTTCAAAATAATATAAAATGTGATCTGAAATGATTGAAACTGTCTTTCCATGCAGTCCTGCAGCAGTTTTTTGATCCCTTCTCTTTGTTCACTTCATCAGGGAGAAACTACGAGAGCTGAACAACGAGTTACTGAAAAAGAACTCCTTCATCGATGAGATGGAGCCTAAATATACCGCCAGCTGTGAGTTTGGACCCTGCTGAGTCAGCATGCGTGAAGACTTATTTAGATCCTGTTCTTTTACATTATCCTTTTTTTTTTGTCTGTCCTGATTTTTTTGTTTTCTGATTTCAAATGACTTCAGACTTTACTGTCTCAAAAGCACAAAAACAATGTAAAAGGTTTGTTTTGTTCCCCGTCAGCCCAACGCGTGGAGGAGCTGGAAGATGCATTAAAGAAGAAAGATGATGACATGAAGCAGATGGAGGAGAGATATAAGAAATACCTGGAAAAAGCCAAAAGTGTGAGTATTTCTTTTAACGACTAATAAACTACCTGCAACACAGTGATGCTTTCTGTAGATATGTGAAATGATCGCATGTGTCCTCTTCAGGTCATTCGAACCCTAGACCCCAAACAGAACCAGGGTTCAGGTCCAGAAGTTCAGGCCCTGAAGAACCAGCTCCAGGAGAAGGAGAGGATGCTACACTCTTTGGAGGTAAAGACTAGATCACTGCAGAAGACAGCCTGCTACTTTGTGTGAAATAAGAATGGCAGTCTTTGCACAACAGTTTAATCTATCTTCAAAAACAGTCCATTGCTCATTTGGCTTTATGTTTCCTCTTAACAGAAAGAGATGGACAAGACAAAGGGCCAGAGAGATTACGAGGAGAAACTGATCGTGTCAGCCTGGTACAATATGGTAAGAAGGATTTAGAAATCGTCAGAATTCAATTCAGAATGAGCTGATTAAAGATGTTGTTTAGACTCATGGATACATTGAGAATATATTTGTCTGTTTTCTAATGAAAACTATCACATGGCAAAGTTCCCAAATAATTGACCCACACAGTTAATACCAGTTAAATGGACTTGATCTTGTGCTTTTTTAATCTTCTGACTACTTAAAGCGCTTTTACACCGCAAGTGTGCCATTCACACACTGATGGCAGTTGCCAGCACTAAAGTATTAAGTCATGAAAAAGTACTGAAAACACTGACATTCAAGGACCAGTTAACATTATAGGACAAGTTTGTCCAGTTCTTTTCAGTCCATCTCTGATTGATTGAACATTACACTTTTTTATATGTTACACAGTCTATTTCACATGTTTCCATGTGTTAAGTTTGATACTTTTTAATAACGTTTGTTTACTTTAAAAAAAATATTGCACAAGACTACATGCTAAATTATTTAATTTCAGCATTAACCACCAGAGGGCAGCACACATATATGATTTAAACAATATTACATTTGCTACTCTGCTTATTTTTTTGTCCACACTTATCTTGTGTGTCAGCTTTTATTTTCTTACATAGTGCACTGAGAGTGTCTGTGGTTTCTCCTTTGACATTTAGTCCTCATGTATTTGCTCTCTCATTCTAATGACATTGTCCATCATTGTCATTAATAAGTCATCTCCTTCTTTATCTGTTTCCAGGGTATGTCTTTTCAGAAGAAGGCGGCTGAAGACAGACTTGCCAACACCGGTTCTGGTCAGTCCTTCTTGGCCCGGCAGAGACAAGCCACCAGCACACGCCGCTCCTATCCAGGCCACGTCCAGCCAGCTACCGCCAGGTAGATGGAAGCAGGGCAGAAAATAAAGTGACAAGCTACCTTACAGATCCCCTGAACTTACATGCAGTAGATGTGCCTTTTTTGAGGCGCACTATTTCCATTTCATTCCTAACAGACGTTTCTTGTTTCCCTGCATTCTGCCTATTGATTTTCTGTTTTTCTTCTTGATCAGATCCATGAGGTAGAGATGCCAGACAAGGCTGCCCATATCTGTCACCACTTTTTTCCCCTTGATTAAGATTTTTTTTTTTTTACCCTCACTCCTTGGATATCAGGCTCCTCCCCCTTTTGCACAACCCAGCCTATTTAACAGGGTTTGACTTGTCACTCCAAACACCCTCTCTTTTTCCCCTCAACCACTGGCCATCCTCAGTCTGTATTCTGTGGCAACCTTTTTTTTTCCCCAGACAGGTCGTGTTGAATATAAGGCAGAGAAGAATCACATCTTCCTCACAAGTGTCTGCCATTTTTTGTTAAAAGAATCGCTCTGCCTGTCCATGCAGTATTTATGCACATCTCTACCTGTGACGACATTTGAGGTTCACCTTGTTTTCGACTGTTTTAACTATAAAGATGTAGCTTTAAGCAGGTGACATCAGTTTTTATTTACGTGTCCATGTTTGAACTGTTTGTTCAACAGGGACAAAATGTTCTTTTGCCATTTCATGATGTTTTCATCTTTAAAGTTTGATCAAAATCGCAAAACAAATAGAGGGAGGCAAAAGAAGATGTAAAGTCATTACATATTCTTGTTCCATTTGCTTGCTAATTTGTCTCCATAGTAAAACATGATTTAGGGAAAACAACAGGTCACACTGAGCGACAGAGGTATTTTTCCCAGAGAAAAAGTCAAAGTAACTTCTTCAGCCAAGCTTCAGGTGGTGCAATTTAGTTGTTAGCTGATTCATATCCGAAAGAGCCCCTGTTGAGCAAAGTGAGAATGGCATCCATTCACAGGTTTTTACATTTTACCAGCATTACCAGGTTGTCTCAGACAACACCCTATGTGCCATACACTTCAATTTAAATAAGGTACCAAGATATTTAGTCGATAATATCCTACCAACACTGCAAACGTCCCTTCTCACATGACAGAGAGAAAAGTCTAGAAAGTTGCAGAGGCTTAAATATTCTGACTGTTGGGTTGAAAGGTATTTCGTGTTGATTGCCACTAATGCCTACAGGGCGTTTATTCGTTGTAGCTCATTGCAGCAGACTTACTTTTTATATCATTTTAGTATCAGTATCTATCAAAGTAAGAAGGCTTTACCTGTTGTTACGACAAGAAGAGCCCATTATTGTCCACGTCTCTTTAGATTGGAAGTTTAAAAAGGTATGCTTGTTGCAGCTGTTCTGCCGTTTCTTCTGCTCGTTTTCCTTCTTCCATTCTGTTAACTTTGTCGTTGTTTTAGAGGCACAGTGTGAATGATCTCTGACTAACGTGATGCTCTTTTAAAAACGCTCCTTTAACCCTGGTCATTTTGTTTGCCTGTGTTTGTACACGGCGGAAACTTTAGACTTTTTTTTTTAGGCCACACCGTCTGACCATTATCTCTCTCTCTCTCTCTCCTCCCTCAACAGCAATGTCACTGCATGACTGGCACACCACTGACCTGGCCTGTCTTTGACCCACGCTGGTCTAGGCAGAGGCTCATGATGCATGAACTACCTGCCTGCCTACTGTTTGCATGACTTTGCATTGTCTTGAACCTGCAAATAACCAGCACACCAGCAGGAGCAATGAGCACTAACAACACTCTGCAGTGTCATGCGTTGTAACCTTCAGACAAAGCCTGAGGAGGCACGGGGTGTGGGAAAAGAAAACCCTCATTCCCTTTTAAATTAAACTCCCTTTCACCTTTCCAGCTCCACACTCCTCCTCATTGTCTCCTGCTCTTTCTTATCCTTTCTCCTGCTCTTCTCTCCACACCATCGCTCCCTCCCCCCTCGCTCCTCATAGACATACCTGCTTGTGCTTTCTGACAGCGTTAAGTCTGTTACGATTCAAAGGTTTGTTACAACCATCTAAGACAGCAGCAGTCTGTCAGTCCGGCAGTTGGGAAAATGGGATACCTCATTGATATATTTTCACATATCTGTTTTTATTGACATGGTTTGAGGAGGGTTGGCATTTGTGAGTGAAATGTTTGAGAGGTGTAAACCTGCAATTCAGTCTGCATATCAAAAAAAAAAAAAAAAAAAAAAAAGTCGGCCCCATTTTTAAGCTTGTAGGTTTTTATCTTCACGGTTCTGCTCGGCCTCTCCTCAACATGTTACAAGATGGCATGTTAGAAGTGGATTTACCTCAAGTGTTAACAAGTTCAACAACGTTTAGTCTAAAGGAAGAGCTGATGGGGCATTACTGAGATGCCCTGCTGGCTTATGGACAGTCTGCAGTACAAGCATAGGATGTGCAAAAAAAAAAAAACAACAGTGTTTTTAAATGAATAAAATGTGTTACAAATACGCTTTTATACAGGGTAGAACCTCCCATTAAGCCCACTCTCATGCTGTCTTTAGAATGGATTTAATGTCAGGTAAGTTGGCTAAACTGTAGTCTTTTTTTTTTTTTTTTTTTTTTAAGTCTTACTAGTGGCTTTAATCAACCAAAAGCCAGAAAATTATAATCATAACACTCGCTTTTAAAGTCATAGCTGGGAGAAGGGGAAAAAAAAAGAAATGAAGGAAACTGTACATTAGCTTGTGTAAGCAAATGTTCAGTAGATTGTTTGGAAAGAAAGAGACACAAATCACAATCTCATTAGAGCCTGATTTTTAATTAATGTAAAGAAACAACAAATCTTGTTGTTCAAAGTTAGCATCATTTTTAAGTGAGTTATTTAAAGATATAAAGACATTCTCTACTTGTAGTGCCTTTGTTTGGAAGGAAAATCACAAGAATGAATGACACGCCTCTTGTTATAAAGCAGCTTTATTGTGTTCTTTATAAAGAGGAAGAAAAACAGTTTATGGTGATCTTTAAACCACATGACAGAAATCTTCATTCAGAGTGTAATGTGTGGATAGAGTGGGCTTCATGGGGGCTTTTCTCCTCTCTTTTTTTTTTTTTTTTAAACCCATTTTACTCATAATTGTTATATCGTGTAACCTTATTATAATTCATGCCGTGCATTTTTATCTGAATGGCTTATTTATTCTGTTGCCGCGTGTACAGCAGTGTTGTTACATTTTTTGTTGATGATACTAGTATTATTATAACATCACTTGTACTGTTACAATGGATGTGTAGTTACCTGAATACATCACAATACTGTTAAATACTTTGTCTTATGCAACAGAGCGAGAGAGAGAGAGAGAAGAGGTTCATCTCCACCTAAGATAAAGACACAAACTTTGTGTTTTTTTTAGTTTTTTTTAACAGTGTCCGCTCAGATGAGGTAACATTTACCTCAGAGCTCTTCACCAAGTCTCCTAGAAAGTGATCATGCCAATTAACGTGTCATGTTTGACATTTTAAGATTTACTCATTTAAGGAAAAAAAAAAAGCAAATCTAACACTTTCAATTGATTTGTGATAGCTGGGACCCTTCTAATGATCAAATGTTACCATTGTTTTAGTGACAGAAGTAAAGACTGGGGCCATGCTGGAAAGAAAGTTGTTGGGTATGCAAGTGTTACATTAGAAAAAAAAAATTGGATTTCACATGTGAGCATCTAAAATGTTCCATAAGTGAGACGTGAAACCAGTGGTTTAAAATTGTGCAATATAATGCAATGTAAATTCAGCTGCGGATTTGGAGGTGACACAGGTCCACCTGTCATTTGCGATCAGCAATTTGAACTGTATAGTACACAAATCTCTTCAACCGTCCATCCCCATTAGTCATTGGTTTGGTAGGAAATGTGTATGTAATGGAACACATCCACATTTTGGTTGAGCTGTTGAAATCTATATCAGGGATGTTGTTGAAACATTGTTTTTCTTATTTAATAAGTATCCCCCTCCCCCAAGTCAGCCCCTGCAATATGTTGCCAATAAGACGTGGAGAAGATGACATGAGCATTACAGTTTGCTGTATAGTATTCTGTTAGCTCCAGCCCCAAATCTTTCCAGATTCATTTTCATATTTGAGAACAAAATACTTGACGAGTATTTGTCACAGTTTGGGTGTTTTACTAACATACCTTGGCTTGAAAGTAACACCCAGTGTTCCTGTTACTTGGCTGCTAATTGCTTGGTGGGCCAGTTAAAGTGTATTAAAAAGAGATCAATCAAACAACAAGCTGTCGACAGGTCAGAATCCATCACTACATGTGCAGTGTTGTCTGTTTAACTTTATTTTTTACTCATAGGCAAACTTTTCTCTACATATTTGAAGTAGCAAAATAACCTTCCATTTGCCAAGTTTTATATCGCTTGTATACAAACACATTATGTACATACTTTATGTGACAGTGGTAGAGGAGGTGTGTGGCCATTAAGAATGAGACAATAAAACTTGTGTCTAGTTAGATGGATTTCATATAACGTCTGTCCAATGAGAACCTAATGATGAAAATGTGCTTCCTACACTGTAAAACTTGGAAATGACATTGTAAATAAAGCTTGTATAAAAGAGGATGCCTTTATTCATTTTTTTTAATCCAGCATGATGAGCAGTATAAACATGTGTCTAATTGGCTGACACCACACCCATCATGAGATAGTTATTTTATAAAGGAGGATGTGTATTTAAATAAATATATGACCTTGTTATGTGGGTAAATGCATTATTTAAATCTTTTTAACTTTAATGTGCAAGAATACACATTTTGTTGTCCAAACTATGTATCAAATTAGAATATGAATTGGTGCTAAAAGAGGTTTCTTGCAGTGAAAAACTTGCTAGCTCACATTCTGATTTTTTTATTACCAAAATTTGAGCAAACAATTCAGTCCTTACACAGAAGGACAAAATTGCTGTAATGTTCAAACAACTGGTTGGCTGGCCGAAAAAAAGAAGAGGGAAGCCAGACGTAGTTTCTGGCTTACCTCTTCACAGAAGCAACAATAAAACACAAAACCCTAAATGAATACTTCCATCCAAACTGAACAACTGGCCTAATCAGATATAAAAAACCCAAAGCCCCTAGAATGTAATCAATGTATACCTTTTTTTTTTCAAATGATATACCCTACACACACACACTCATAATACAACACCTGGTAAGCCTTGGAGTCATTGGCACCTCTTATCCAGCAGGGGGGAGTGTTCAACCCCAAACCCAAACAATGTACTGAATGCTGAAAGAGAAGCGAAGATGACACTCATTGTGCACTTATCCGTCTTGGATAGTCTTTAGAAAACTACAGTTTTGGGGCGCTGGTAGCCTAGTGATTGGTGCCCATGCCCCATTTAAGGAGGCCGCTGTCCTCCGGGCAGGCGGCTCAGGTTCGAATCCAACGTGCGGCTCCTTTCCTGCATGTCATCTCGACTCTCTCTCTCCCTGATTTCCGACCCTATCCACTGTCCTTTCTCTACATTAAGGGCTTAAATAGCCCAAAAATACATCTTAAAAAAACAGTCACATGAATGCCTCAGACATACCCCCCCTGCCTTTTTTTTTTTTAACATATCTGATGCCAATCAAGTGTCCCTGAGAAGTAAGAAATCAGGTGCTCTGCCCCATCAGAGCCTTCTATTATAAGGAGAGCGTCCACACCTATGTTGCTTGCATCAAGGATGGGTGTATATAACAGAGGCAACTCAAAGTCAAACTCAACTTGGATATTTGCAGGTCAGTCAGAGGAAAGTATGGTTGAACTGGGATAAGATTTGCAATCAAGAAAAGATGCCATACATCCCGCTCAGGCAAATGGACAGGATGGTTATGATGCTGATTAGAACTCTCAACAGCAGCTGTCGATGTTGTGCGTTTGCCTCTGGTCACTTCCTGTCAGCACCTGAGTGTCCAATTGGATTTAAAGCTGTTCATTGGCACTTACTGACACTGTTTCCTCCTCTCTCGATCCTTGCTTGTGTTGTACTTACTCTCTGTGATGTACGTCACTTTGGATAAAAGCGTCTGCTAAAGGAACTGTAGAATTGTAGAACATTATGAATTCCTACATCACACATTGGCAGTAACTTTACGTGTGGTCTAGTTCAAGTCTGCTCCATTAAGTCAACAGGATTAAGACTTCAAAGACATAGAGTAGACAAATTAGGTCAGAGAAAGTCGATGAGTAAATAACATAACACGACAGGCAGACAGTGAGTCATAAACTTGTGAACATAGACAACCAGAAGCACTGACACGATTCTACTAGTGTGGTCCAGACAAAGTTCACAAACTGCTGCTGCTATTTGGAACAGTTTCAGTGTTAATATCCTTTAAAAACATCTGTAAGCAACGTCAACAATATTTTATTATATTGCGCAAAATCAGACAAAAAGATTTATCCTAGAACAATTATGGAAACAAACTGGTTCCATCTTTTATGTAGCATTTAAGTAGCTTAACATTTATCCACCATGAGAAAGCAATTGGTAACAGTGGCAAGAAAAAGGTCCTTTTTAACTGGCAGAAACCTCAAGCGGAACCACACTCATTAGTGAACAGCCATCTGCCTCAACCGGATAAGTACTAATCAGCTCAGCGTTAAAGTTCAAGCACTAAGACTGTTGCATATCAATCATCCATTCATCACTCTCTACACCTTCTTGTCTCTGTCTACCTGCTTCTCTGATAAACTCAATCAGCCATTGCAACTTTATATCTGTTATCCTCTCTGCTATTTGTCAGTTTTTTTTATTTCAGTTCCACCATTGAAACCACCAGCTGATTCCACTCAAATCCATCTTACCTTTGTGCTGGTTCAGTTCTACAGATGTCCACCCCTCATCACATCCTTCACCCTTCTTTCACCACCACCATCAGTGCCTAGACTCCATTGGAGGTTCCCTATACGGTCTATTGGCCTCACTACTCTTTTCAAATACATGAAGACATAAGGAGGAGGCCTCATCCCCACAGACATTGCACATTCTTCTAACTCTGTAAAACAATGAAGTGTTCACCCCTAATGAAGTCCCTTCTGATTGGTTGACTCTACACATGTAACCATTGAGAAGTAATGTTCAGCTTAAGAATCTTTGAGAATTTCACATCTCGGTTTCTTACATTTAAAACGGTCTCTGTGGCCAGAATACGGTTAAACATGAGAAAATATGACACAATTCTTGGGGACTTGGGGACAAAGATTTTACCGCACTATTGTTGCCCCAACCAGAAAACCCTGTGAGGATGAGAACATTGTTTTTAATGTCCAAAGAAAATGTTGTCATTGATCCCAGATGTCCCCCCCCCTTATTTTTTTGGTTTCTTAGTATTGAAGTAATTACAGGATCAGGCAGAAAAATCAAAGCTAACGCGAGCTGTCATTTCCCTAATGAAAGAGCCCGTTATTATTCCTTCATAACTTAGAGTTTGGCCGACAATATGGGCTTTATGACACTTTCAATTTCCATTTCAAATCGACTGGTGGGGGGCAATGGCAGCAGCCTGATAACACAAGGCTCTCATTGATGCACACACACACACACACACACACACACACACACACACACAGATCAGGTGGTGTTTCAATGCTTTGGATACCTGACCTGAGATTTTAACACGCACACCAAACACATTCAGCCAACACACAGGAAACCTCTCGTGATAATTTTTGGCTTCACTTCAATGAGACCCAGGTGAGAAGTGCACGGGGGGAAACAAAAACCTCGTGCTCAGCTTGTGTTGACACAGTCAGAGAGTGAATAAAGAAGAAGCGAGTGGCTCCTTGGATTGTTTTGACCCCCGTATAAGCACCGAGAACTGAGGGGAGCAGTCTGACTGACAGCCGCACTGTACAAGAAGCTGTGGTTTATAACAGGCAGAACATGAAGAACTGGCCAAAGCAGGGATGTGATTTTTTTTTGGAGACATAAATCATTTTCATTTCACATTAATATTTATTTATGCCTGACAGTTCTTGGCTTACTCTCATGCTTGTTATGCTGTAAAAAAAAATCATCTTATTTAAGGGATAGGTTACAGAGGTCGCTAGAAGAACAAATCGGATTTCTATCTCACATAAAAACTGACATTTGTAGGCAGATTCTGAGGAGGGCTGCTTCAGTGAATTACTTTTGATTTAACACAGTCAAAGACTTTAGAATGAAGTTCAACAACTTCTGGCTCCATGATTTAGCTTCATTGCTAACTTAAGGTCACTTTTAAATCTACCAGTCACTATAAGCAAAGACAATAATAATTTTAAAAAGGCTCATTCTGGTTGAATGTTACGGTTGTTAAGGTGCATGAAGGAACTGATGGACATCTACAAATTCATTTCAATTCATCATAGTTGGTGGACACACATCATTTTACATTAAATGGTAAATGGACTTGAGCTTGTATAGTGTGTTTCTAGTCTTCTGACTACAAAAAACACTTTTACACTGCAAGTCACACCTACCCATTCACACGCTGATGGCTGAGGTTTCTATGTCGTGAGACCATCAGAAGTAACTAATCCCATTTATACGCATCCATACGCCGCAGAGGAAGCTGCGGGAGCAATCTGGGCTGAAATGTCTTGCCCAAGGACACCTCCGACATGCTGCTGTAGGAGCTGGGGTTCGAACCCTCGACCTTCCGGTTGAGAGACAACAGCTGTACCAACTGAGCCACAGCTGTGTAATATGTTTGTAAAATGCAATAAAATGCAATGCCAGTTTTTCAACACTCTAACCATCTTGACAGACATATTGGGAAAGTATTGTTATTTTTTTTTAGCTAAACCAAACAATGATGATCTACAGGTAGTAGTAAGGTGCAACAAACAAATGCAAAGCTCAAAGTAAAGGACTACTACTAGCAGGTTAATGTGGATGTAAATAATAAATGTTATGGGTTGTTTTCAAGAAAAATCCACATGCCAACCTTCATTTAATGTGACAGTATTTGCTAACTGTCTCATTTGGTATGTTGTTGTTTTAAAGGTATACACGCCTTGATTACAAGTAGACATTGAATATGTCTATTTCATGAAAGACAATGGCATGGTTTTCTCAAATTAATTTTTCTTCTTTCACTCGTCAATTTGACATGACTTGGTCTACAAAGATTTTAGAAGGCATATATATCCTAAAATTAGGTTATTTAAATCACACTGTATCTTTAGGCATTCTGCTTTTTTATATCAGGAACAGACGCCCATGATACATAATGCATGAAAAACATGTATACGATATGAAATGAGTAAATCTATTAACACTATTTATGGATATTTTGTATCTCTGTTTTTACCCTATTGTTTTTTTAAGCCCACATTACCGGGGGGGGGGGGTTCATCTGTATTTAACAAGCTTCATAAACAGAGAGCATGTGGGCATTTAATTTCCCACATGTACAAGTCATCAGGTTCACGTGCAGCGGATACTGTGCATATTTAAACTCACTCTCTCCCTTTAAAACTCACACAGAAACACACACACGAAACAGCCTGGACCAGAGGGATGAACGTCTGAGTGATCTCCACGCTGTTTGAGCCAGAGTGAGTCACATCGGGCGCCGTGACCACTAAATCAAA